CAAAACTATATATAAACCCGCGCAAAGCACAAGAGTTTGGCCATTAGTATAGTATGCATAACACCCCCAAAATTAATGGTGAAGTATATAATTTTGTTGCTGGTAAATTCAGTGTAGATCACATTCATCGCCCAAGTTGCGCATGCCATCCCTGTGCATAGACAGAACCTTAATCGATGTGCGTCGACATGTGTGATTCACGCATACCCATGAAGAATAGTCCGATAAAGGATTTCAATTCCTTGTGTTGTGATCTTCTTAAAGATAAAAAAATATCAAGGTTACGTTTGTTTCACGAAAAATGAATGATTTGAAAAATATATTCTAAAAAGCGATCGCTTGTGTCACTTACAAAAATTAATGAATAAAAAAAAATTCATCATCTAGAAAATGTTTAATTATAAATCGTTGTCAATAAGGAAAATATCTTTCGTTGACTAATTATTTTAAGAGATACAAGCGATCATTTTTTAGAAAATATTTTTTCAAATCATTCATTTTTGGCTAAACAATCGGAGCTCAAGAGTGAAATAAAAAATTGGATCAAGACGGAGGCTTCTCTCTGCCTCTCTGGGTTGGGCTGGACTGACCCAAATAGTCTTTGGTTTCCCTTGTGCTGAAGCCTCGTTCGGCAGCAATTAAAAGGAAAACGGCGTCGCTGGGAGCATCTGCTTCTGTTTCAGTTGCCAATTCTCTAAGCGAGAGCGAGAGACGCTCGTACGAGAAAGCTCGTCCACCTCACTTCGCTTCGCCACGGTGATCGCGATCATCCACTCTCTTTCTTCTTTTCTCTTCTTCACTAAATCTCTCTGGTAATTCCGTTTTTTTTTTTTTGGCAGGATTATTTGAAGACGGCGATTCCTTCGCAGCTCATCTTGGATAGAGGCTCCAATCTCGTCGTCATCAACCCTAGTACTCTCATGGGACGAGGCTTTCTGCTAATATGAGGCCGGGATGCCAGCTGCATCTCATAGGACGAGCCTTAATGCTCTCAATGCATGTTTCCCAAAATGAATTATCATCTCTATATGACTTTGCTTCCTAGATGCTTCCTAGCTGTTTAGCTTTCTAGAGATGTACCAATGGTTCTTTTCTATGTATAGAATAGAAATAAAAGAAGAGAAAAGGGACATTCAATCGTTAACGTGGTTCGAACAATCAAGAGTATAATCCCTTGGAAACTTACATTCACGGTGGTAAATCCCCAATTCATCTTATTTTTTTGGGGGAGGATTCATTATCCTTTAATAGAGAGCAATACAATGGGTTACAGTGATTAATTTAATAACTACAGCTATCGCACAACCCATCATGATCTCCTACTATATTGGGATTATGATGATCTTGCATCCTTATCGTTCCAACACTCCCCCTCCAAGCTAGAGCAAAGATGTCCTCAGAGGTCATCTTGGATATCATATTCTGGAAAACACCTTTAGAGAGAGCCTTAGTGAATACATCTGCAAGTTGTTCATCACTACGGACATAAGGAGTTTCAATTGTCTTGTCTTGAACCTTCTCACGAACAAAGTGACAATCGACTTCTATATGTTTTGTTCGTTCATGTAAAACTGGATTTGAAGCAATATGGATTGTGGCTTGATTATCACAAAATAACTTCATAGGAGACATAGGGGTTCCAAACCCCAATTCTTGCACAAGCAATCGAAGCCAAACCATTTCACTTGCAGTTGAAGCCATGGCTCTGTATTCAGCCTCTGCACTGGATCTTGCCACAACAATCTGTTTTTTACTTTCCCAAGTCACTAAGTTGCCGCCTACAAAGGTGCAAAAGCCTGTAGTTGATTTTATGTCCGTAGGACTCCCAGCCTAATCCGCATTAGTGTACCCTACGATACTAGTATGACCATGTTTCTTCATCAAAATACCCCGACCTAGACTAGACTTTAGGTACCGAAGTATGCGATCCACAAGCGCCATATGTCCTTCGGTAGGAGCATGCATGAATTGGCTTACATAACTGACCGCGTAAGCAATATCTGGACGAGTAATGGTTAAGTAAATTAGCCTTCCAACCAACCTTTGAAACTGACCACTATCAAGTAATGGGGTGACGTCGTCTACAAACTTACTTTTATACTCCATGGGAGACTCTGCAGGAGCAGCTCTAAGTTTCCCAGTCTCTTTTAACAAGTCAAGAGCATATTTCCTTTGAGAGATGAATAATCCTTTACTAGAATAAGCCACCTCTATACCAAGACAAGGGTCCCAAATCCTTGACGTCAAACTTCACATTCAAGTGCCGCTTGAGAGCCTCGATTTCATGAAGATTATCACCAGTAATAACTATATCATCCACGTAGACAAGGACAACCACCATTCCTTTGGCACTTCGCTTCACAAACAAGGAGGAATCCGAATCACAGTTTTTGAAACCCACACTTTAAAGAGCGGAACTTAATTTTCCATACCAAGCACGTAGAGACTATTTGAGGCCGTAGATGGCTTTATGAAGCTTGCAAACTCCATTTGGTTAATTTTCTAAAGGATGTCCAGGAGGAATGTTCATATAAACTTCTTCTTCCAGTTCACCTTGTAAATACGCGTTTCTAACATCCATTTGAAAGAGTGGCCAATCACAATTTACTATTGTAGACATTAATACTCTCACCATGTTTATTTTTGCTACGGGAGCAAACGTTTCTTTGTAGTCTTCACCATATATTTGAGGGCAAAAGTACACTAGAAGTGTCATAACTTGTGTACGGCAATCACTTTGGTGCCATAACTTTTTTTCGGATCACTTTGGTGCCAACTTTTTGAAAATCGATCACTTTAGTGCCAATGCTGACGTGGCTCACCGGAAATCCGATGTGGCGCTGACACGGCTCGCCGGAGAGGTCCAGTCAGCATTAAAAACCAAAAACGACGCCGTTTAGCCCGCTGACGTGTACTTTTAAAAAAAATTATATTATATTTAAAAAAAAAAACCTGCGAGCGGCGGCGAGGAGCCCTCGCCGCTGCTGCCTAACCCACCACCACGCCGGGAAGGGCCGGCGGTGGTGGGCGCAAGTGGTCGGCAAGGGCCGGATCTCGCAGGCGAGACCTCGCCATCGCGACCCGGGCGACGGCGAGGTCTCGCCTCGCCCAGCAAAGGCAAGGCCGGACCTCGCCGTCGCACGGGTCGCGACGGCGAGGTCTCGCCTCGCGATCCGGCCCTCGCTGGGCTCGGCGAGAGTCGCCGGATCCGGCCCTCGCTGGGCTCGGCGAGAGTCGCCGGATCCGGCCCTCCCTGGGCTCCGCGAGGGTCGTCGGGCCTCGGCCAGGGCCTGGCAACCCTCGCCGACCACTGCGCCCACCACCGTCGGCCCTTACCGGCGATGGTGGGTTGGCGGCAGCAGCGGCGAGGGCTCCCTCGCCGCTGCTGCAACTTTTTTTTTTTTTTTAAATTAAAAAATTCTAAAAAAAGCCACGTAATTTCCACCGTGTACGAGTCAGACCATTTTTTTTTTAATATAAATGCCAGGTCAGCTTTTTGGCCGGAGTCACTAAAGTGATCGATTTTCCTCCGACTTGGCACCAAAGTGATCCGAAAAAAAGTTATGGCACCAAAGTGATCGCCGTACACAAGTTATGGCACTTCTAATGTACTTTTGCCTATATTTGAGTGTAGCCCTTAGCAACGAGTCTTTCCTTGTGATGCTCAATGGAACCATCACTCTTGTATTTAATTTTATATACCCACCTGCAACCTACAGAATTCTTTCCTTCAGGTAAGGTAACAATATCCCAAGTGCGATTTTTATAGAGTGCTTCTAGCTCTTCTTTCATAGCATCTCGCCACACTTGAGAACTTCTAGCTTCGAAAAAGGTAGCAGGTTCTTTCTGAGCATCAACAACTGATAAAAAAGCAAGGAAGGCAGGCGAAACTTTATCATAGCAAATATAATTGCGTATAGGAAATCGTGCAGAATGATAAGTGGTGAAGTCACAAAGTCTGGTAGATGGTTGTGAAATCCGAGTGATCTTACGAATAGGAGCAAGAGCGGCAGACGCAGGTGTAGGCTCTTCTATATCAACAATTTCATCCACTTGCTATGGAGCAAGAGTAGGATCGCTGTTATCATTGATGTGATCAATTACAATCGGCAAGGGTGCAACTTCAACATCGAACCCACTATAGTCTAAGTCAGTACCACTATTCTCCCCCTGAAGGTAATCCCTATTAGAAAAAAAAACATATGAGTCTCATCTTAGACAACATCATGGGAGATGAAAACCTTCTTAGTAGATGGATCACAACATTTATACCCCTTCTTGACACAGGAGTAACCAATAAAAACACACTTGCGAGCACGAGGATCAAGTTTTCCCTCGAGAGAGTGAACAAAACAAACACTTCCAAATATTCGAAGATGTGAAATATTCACAGGTCGCCCAATAAGGACCTCCATTGGAGACTTGTAGCATAAGATCTTACTAGAAGGACAATTAATCAAGTAACAACTAGTGAACACCGCATCTGACCAACATGTCTTGGGAAAGTTACCATGAAATAATAGAGCTCTTGTCACTTCAAGTAGGTGACGATTTTTCCGTTCGGTTACCCCATTTTGTTGAGGGGTGCCAACACAAGAGGTTTGATGAATAATTCCCAAAGACTTAAGAAATGACTCAAAATGATGGTTTGTATATTCTGTCTTATTATCAGTTCGGAGAATCTTGATGCGCCGACCATATTGAGTGTGAATCCTACAACAAAATTCTTGAAACACTTTCAACACTTCACTCTTAGAGGCCAACAAATAAATCCAAGTGGTACGGGACTTATCATCAATAAAAGTAACATAATATTTAAAACCATCACGAGAGATCACAGGAGCATTACCCCACACATCAGAGTGTACTAATTCAAAGAGTTCTTGTGAAACAGGTGTGCTAGAGGTAAAAGGGAGTTTATGTTGCTTCAAAGAACGACAAGTTTCACAATGACTCGAATCAAGAGAAAAATCGGCATTCAAATTATGCAACACATTATCTTAGGGGTGTCCCATGCGTAAATGCGAGAGTTGTGAAGTAGCCTCCTTATCCGTCCTTGTGACCAAAGCCTCACTCGGAAAATCAACCACATAGAGACCTTGCTGTAATCGGCCTTCACCAATCGTCCTCCCTGTGAGTTTGTCCTGAACCACTGCCTTTTGTTGGGAAAAAACAACATTGCAGTCCAATTCATTAGTGAGTTTACTAACAGATAACAGATTTGAAGATAAAGATGGCACAAATAACACGTCACAAGCAGCAGAAAATAAATTAATGGTGCCTTGTCCTTCAACCGGATCCTGAGTTCCATTAGCCACAGTAATGGGACCATGAGAACCCTCAGAATGAACACGAAAATCGGATATTCCATAATAGGTGTTGCACATATGATTAGTAGCGCCTGAATCAACAATAAAAGAACTTTTGGAAGACAAAGCCATAAGAGCTTGGGAATTACTAGATTGAGCCAGATTGCTAGAATCCGAAATGGAAGATTTTATGCCACCGAATTGGATAAGATGGTAAAGTTGAAGAGCAAGTTTACTCAAAGAGGCTTGAAAGTCAGATGTTGAGCCTTGAGTTTGAGCCCTTTTATCCTTATAAGGCCTAAGGTGAGGGTACAGTTCCCAACAATGATCCTTAGAATGACCATCCCTATCACAGTAATCACAATGAAACTTCTTATTACGACCTTTGCCTTTACCAGAACCAAATCGACCCCCATCAGAACCATAGTGACCACCATTGGTTTTAGCAGCATGGGCAGAACTCTCAATCAAATCTGCCCCTTTCTTGGAATTAGAAGTCATCACACGACAACGAGTTTCCTCCCTTTGAACAATAGCACAAACAGTGGCAAAATTGGGAAGAGTAGAACTCATGAGAATTTGCCTCTTAAGGTCTTCATATTCAGGCCTAAGATTGGCCAAAAGTTGAAAAATTTTGTCATGCTCTTCATGTTGGGCATATATCTCAACAGTCTAAGCTAGTGGTTGATACTGTCGCAATTCATCCCACTTCTTTTTCAAATTACCAAGATGTTCGATAAATGTTTGATTAGGTGATTGCTCAGTATGAGCAAGATCCTGTTGTAACTCAAAGACACGGGATGCATTATCAATATTGCCATACATATCCTGTAAAGAATCCCATAGGGACTTGGCTATCTCTGAATAAGCAAATATCTCATAGATTTGGTATTCCATTGAATTACACAACCAAGACAAAACCCTATTATCATTTGCTTGCCATTCAGCGGATTTTGCATCTGTAGATGCAGGTGCTCTGATAAGACCATTCACGTAACCCAATTTCGATCTACCCCCAAGAGCTATAGAGACAACTCTAGACCAAGGCAGATAACTACGCCCATTTAACATAATGGTTGTAAGTTTATTGGACATCTCAAAAACAGATTTGTTGTTATCAGCCATAGTACTAGACAAAAAAAGAGCACAAAGTTCAGCAAACTTATTTAGTACCAATCGAGTCTAATAACAGATCGTCCTCTGTGCAAACCAAAGAAACCACCGCAAAAAATAGATCCACAAATAGCAGAACACAACACGTGCTATAGGAACCACCAATAGACAAGCGAAAGCATTGACACTGAAGCCAACCTTAGGATCATGTTTTGCTCTGATACCATGTTTTAATGAAAATCATGTATAGAATAGAAATAAAAGAAGAGAAAAGGGACACTCAATCGTTAACGAGGTTCGGACAACCAAGAGTATAATCCCTTGGAAGCTTACATTTTCTATTTAGGTACCTCTTATGGGTTTGTTTTATCCAACACTTTTGGCTCCAGATGTATATCCTCCACCACCTCATTCTTGGTGAGCGAAATTGTTACGTCTGAGAACTTTTCAGATCAAGTTTAATCTTGATAAAACTTCTCTAGCATGGTGATTGTTTTGCAAGGTTCAATGATTATCAGACATGCTAGAAGAAACTTGGCATTTTGATTATCCCAGACGACCGGACATGGCGGATAGCCTCTATCCTGGGTTTAACATCGGATTGCCAATGTGGGACAGCTATCCGATATTTCAAACAAAACGTAAGAAGAAAGAGAAGGTTGGCCTTGCTGAAGCAATCACTAGTAGTATTCTTTCAACCGTAGGTCCTTCACAATTTCTTCCATTCTGTTTGCAGGGAGTGTCATGTGTTATGGATCATAGTTTTTATATTACTTTGACGAGGCGTATCGATCTCAAGAGAAAACTGTTCTGTAGTATACAACTGGTGAGTGTCGTGCACACCCTGAGATGTTCTTTGAATTGCCATATATTGACTTGGGAATAATGACTCAGTTTTGTGATTTAGATTGGTGGAGTGGCTTTGACTGAGGGTCTCATTCCTGCTGTAGAAGAAAGGTTAGTTTGGCTTATGCTTTAAACATTTGCAGAATTGTGGCCTTTTAACCATTGTTGCGTGGTGACAAAATTTCATGTTTGACTCTATATAAACAGGTGTTAAGAGCTTTGTCTATGCTGAAAGAAAATTGATGAATTTATTATTTACAGAAATCTGCCGGAGTAATACCTCCTTAAATTAAGATATTGGCATCTTTTCTTGCAAAAGTTCAAAGAAGGAACGCATTAACATGGACGATGAGCCCAAAACATGAATAATATTTGAAGAGTTAATACCACGAACAACCCCAAACTAGTACACCTGTGACAAATTTACTCCAAACTAATTTTTTAACCACCAAAAATCCGAAACCGGTACACATATGACAAATTTACCTTAAACTAATTTTTTACCACAAAAAATCCCAAACTGATACATTTGTGATAAATTTACCCTCCATTGAATTGAATTAATACAAAAAAAAAATCACAAACTAGTACATCTGAAACAAACAGAGGGTAAAACCCCAAACTGGTACATTCATCAACTGTCATGTATCATTTAACTAAGCAATTTGACAATAAAATTTAACGGAAACTAACGGAGAGTATTTGTCACTGGTGTACCAGTTTGGGGTTTTTCGTAATCAAAAAATTAGTTTTTGATAAATCTGTCATAGATGTACCAATTTGGGATTTTTCGTGGTAATAACCCATATTTGAAAGCCTATGTCATTGTTATATGTTAATTGCTTTCATATAATTGATGGTTTATCCTGCATGAGCTCCCTTTTGGTTTTGCGATCTAGTTTATGTATGACTTTAGTCTTTTGGGCTGTTTATGTAAATGGGTTTGCACCCTCTCGGTGCCCTATAGTTGAACTTTTTCGATTTATCAAGCAAAAATCGTCTTTAGGACTTGCAATGACTATCTACAAAATTATTTTAGGAAAAACAGAGAAAAAGCGCACTTCTGGTTTATGTATGCTCCTTTGTTTTCTGTAATCTTCCATTTAAATAGAAGGAATTTTCTTTGGAGAATTTAAAAAAAAAATCCGAACCTTGGGTCAATAGTGATGTGTCTGAGTGCCTATGGATTATGGCGTTATTGTCCAGTAATTTGCTATTCTTTTTCCCTAGGTACATTTCTATAGAAGTTCCATAGCCTAAAATTGTTTCTCATCGCTAGTTGATTCTCTTGTTACAAAGTATTGCATGCAATTCCTTCAAATGAAGCAATTGATACGGTCGAGGTCAGTATGCTCTTTCCTTCAAATGAAGCAATTGATACGGCGGAGATTATCTGGTCATGCAGCTTCAATTTCATCGTATTGGCAACCACATGATAAGCAGCATATTCAGCATAATGTTCAAATGTTAAATGGGTCGATTTTGTGGATGTTTTTTTTTTCTTGAATGGCATAAAGGACGTCATTCTATCTATGCTTCTAAGTTGTAGTTGCCAAATTTCTTAAAAACATGTCTCATTCAAAGGTTGAGCCTTGGTTTTTTCTGGCGTCTCATTTCTATCACATGACTTGAGCTGGCCACCATCCATCTCATGCTTTGAAGGGTTCTGTCATACAGGTTAATTAGATGTGCAGTATTCTTAAGCTATGACTTACGAACAGTGCACGTGAGATAGAGAATTCCATTAGTAGAACTGAAATTTTGTGCACTTCTAGATTGAGCAAAATGAGTTGTAGTCTTTTGTTTAACACAGGATATGAACTCCATGCGTCTACAACAGGTTTTGCAAATCTAGAACACACCCTACTTCTGTGTCATGGAAAGGTGGAGCGGTAAGGTAAGCATCGTAGCATAACATTCTCTCACTTTTTTTCTGCGAGAAGATGAATTTTGTCTAACATTTGCACAATTCTTATCTTCTTGTAACTCAGTTCCATTCCCACTGGGCAGAATTTGATCTCAAGAGAAAATGAACAAAAGTGTGTTGGCGCCTCTCTCTCTCTCTCTCTCTCTCTCTCTCTCTCTCTCTCTCTCTCTCTCTCTCTCTCTCTCTCTCTCTCTCTCTCTCTCTCTCTCTCTCTCTCTCTCTCTCTCTCTCTTGGCGCCTCTCTCTCTCTCTCTCTCTCTCTCTCTCTCTCTCTCTCTCTCTCTCTCTCTCTCTCTCTCTCTCTCATGTTGTTTTTCAATCTTTTTCTGATGTGGTGGTCACGTGGTGCTGCATCAACATTACATTGTCTGCGAAAAAAGAGGAAACATTAGTCAAATTAAGGGAGGAAATCATGATCAACATAACAAGAGAAAAACAGGAGTAACGGCCTACAGCGGTTCCATATGCACGAGAGTCGAAACCTTAAGCCTCATTTGTTGTTATGTTTATGGGAGGAAATTAAACTATGGCAGGTGGGAATGGAATTGACCAAATAAGAAGATAAAGCAGGTGCAAACGTTAGGTGGGATGAAAGAAAGACAGCATTTGGTCCTTGCCAATGTTGGGGTTTCGTGAAAGACCTCCACGGCAGTCCCAAAGTCGTTTGGAGTTCACTTCAATCAACCTCCACAGCAGTATCCTGTTAATGGCATGCACAATGACAGTCGAGAGAAGAAGACGGAGAAACCGAGGGCATACAAACAGACACGGTTTTGAAGAATTTCCACGTACAGACACGCAGCTGTCCACGTAAACTCAATTTGTGGCTGGCACGAATGGTGTACAAACCACGAGTGGGCAAAGTCTAATGTCGCGGATGACTTTTGGAAGAGTCACCAATGGACAAATTCCGAGCTTTGACATGCCCGAAATCGATACGGCTTCCCCTAGCTAGTAGTCTATCTCGTGGCTTGACTATGAGGCAAAAGCAAAGCAGGTTGCCCCGTTTGTTCAGAGAGAATTCCCCCCCCCCCCCCCCTTTTCCGCTTTCATTTTCGTGAAAATAGTACGTGAAAAAGAGCGTTTGGTACTGTTTCCCAAAAAAAGCAGTTCCCAAAATCGTTTAAGCGATTGTATAGTTGATCAGCAGAACACCACAAGAGACTGCCGACAAAATGCTCTCTACTGTTAGTTGGTTGGGAAATTCTTGGTGTATACACTTGGTATGGCGAGGTACCAATACATATATTTTTATCGACTATGATCGGACATCGATTACACAGCTTGTGTGGTTAATCTAATCACGTTGCGTGGTTACGTAGTTTGAAATTTACAATTAGCAAATAGTGAAAATAGGAGTACTTGTACCATTTACGCATTTGAGTTCTCAAACTTTTATTTCGTTCATTTTGGAATCAAAACTTGCATTAAAAAGCATCTGAGAGATTTGTTTTGCTCCATCAATTTCTGATGAACAGAAATCATAGCTGGCTTCTTTAATTCCCCATAAACATAATAACAGATTGCGTGAAAATATGACTACATGTTCATGAATTCCCTATGTGCAAAAGAGAAACATAATTTATTAATTATCTTTTTTTACTAATCGAGTCATCAGAACATTTAGATGTGATATCATTCACTAAATTATGTCTTTGGCTTTATTGTCACAAAATATGGATGACCCCGGAATTAATTATTTTCATAAGTCTCCCAACTCTAAATTTTACACGTATTCTTACATATGACGGCAATTATGGAGTTATTTTCTCATTGATTGAAATAAGGATCCTCAAATATCTTGATATACATATATAAAACCATTTAAACATTACTTCGGAAAGGTCTTCGTATCAAATTAATATATATAGAGAGTGCTACATATGATAAAATATTTATCAAAAAAAAGACTAAACAAGGTGCAATATCAAATTTTTAGAGAAACTAAAAGATTGAGAAAGTTTTAATTGTTAATTCTTCTTGGTTATGCAGCAACGCTTTAGTTAATATTCTAGTACAGAAGATAAAAGGATGGTTTTAAAAACATGGCATGTTGACCCTTGTCAATTTTGGTAAGGTGATCTAGTGAAATAGTATTCTCTTATTTCTTTTATTATTTGGATAAGAATTTTCCTTTCTACACAAGAAAGTTATTACAAGTTTTCATTATTTTGTGGGATAAAGCTCATTTATGCAAACACGATTATGAATATACTTACATATTTTTCCCAAGGCTCATTTATGTTATCCAATTCTCAATAAAGTTATTATGAGGATAATTCAATCAATTGCTTAACCATTTCCAATAAAGTTATTTGAGCGCATTTGGGTTTTCGTTTGGAAACTGCTCTCAAAACGTACGTGACCAAAAGGCTTTTTCAATACTATTTTCATGTTCAAATGAAATTGAAAACAAAACACGAGAAAATTTTCTCTAAACAATACAGGGCAACCTCCTGCTTTTTTTACCCATAGGCTTTTGGTCTTTCCTCTCTCTCTCTAGTCCCCTTTTTGTTGACCCCACGCGTCATTCACACCACCAAACAATTGCACAAGCTTATCTTCTTATTGCTCAATTCCATTCCCACATGCAGATGCCGTTGGGCCTTGCTATATAATCGTGCATGAAGTTCACCGCCAAACCATATAGTCTCACCACAAATGCATCAGCTCCGCAACCTCCTCTCAAACACTCGTCAACCCCTTGCTTTCTCTTTTTGGAAATGGCGGAAGCAGTGCTCTTCAACCTCGCCACCGACATACTGAAACTCGCTGGTTCCATCACCAATTCGGAGATCAAACTTGCATGTGGTACGAGAGATGAGCTCGACAGTCTCGAGGGCACCGTCGAGACCATCCGAGCTGTGCTTTTGGATGCCGAGAAGCAGCGATGGCGCAACCACCAGGTCAAGCTCTGGCTCGGGAGGCTCAAGGACGTGCTGTACGACGTACAGGACTTGGTCGACGATGTCACAACCAAAGATCTGAGGCTGAAGGTCACTCCCGGCAACAAGATGTCGAAAGCAGTACGCGTTTTCTTCTCTAAATCGAATCAGCTTGCACACCGCCTCACAGTGGCTAAGGAGATTCAGGAACTTAGGAAGAGACTGGATCGGATTAAAAAAGATAGGGAGTTCCGTTTAGAGGAGCATCAGAGTGAGGAAACAATGGCCATCGCGAGAGGAAGGAAACCTGAAATTTCGGCACCCGACGAACAAATAATCGGTAGGAAAAAGGACAAAGAAAAGATCAAACAACTTTTGTTTGATTCCTCCTCTAGCAAGAGTGTGTCATTTGTTGCCATCGTTGGTAAAGGAGGTCTTGGAAAAACCTCACTTGCACGACTAGTGTGCAACGATGGGGAGGTAGAAAAACATTTCGATCTTAAGATGTGGGTGTGTGTATCTAATGTCTTTGATGTGAATTTGATTATCAAAGAAATTCTTAAATCAGCAAACTGTCAAGATCATGAGAATAAATCCTTAGACCAATTGCAGAGACTTCTTCATGAGACTCTAGGCAAGAAGAAATATCTGCTTGTTTTGGATGACATGTGGAATGAAGTTCGGCTCAAATGGTTGGAGCTTGGAGATTGGCTAAAGGGTGGTGAACGGGGAAGCAAGATACTTTTAACCACTCGCAGCCACACTGTTGCCAAGGTCACAGATGAAAAGTCAGCTATCTATAATCTACAAGGCCTAAGTACAAGCGAGTCCTGGGATCCATTTAGGGAAGTGGCGTTTGGAGATAGGCAAGCATCGGTAGACCAGAGATTGGAGGAGATGGGAAGAGATATAGTTAGAAAATGCGTCGGGGTTCCCCTTGCCATTAGAACTATAGGAAGCCTTTTGTACGGCAAAACGGAAGATCAGTGGAACCGTTACAGAGTGAAGGAACTTCCAGAAATACCAGAAATTGATGTGGTTGATAATGGAATTATGCAAGTTGAGTTACGATCATCTCCCGTCATGCTTGAAACATTGTTTTGCATATTGCTCATTGTTTCCAAAAGATCATAACTATGAGAAAGAGATGATGATACATCTTTGGGTGGCACAAGGCTTTATTGAGTCACGCAACGGGAGGATAACCTTGAAGAGGTTGCCGACAATTACTTGTCAGAACTACTATGTAGGTCATTCCTCGATGCTGTAATCAAACTCGATGATGGCGAGGTTCTAACTTTCAAGATGCATGATCTCATGCATGATCTTGCCCAAAAAGTTGCTGGAGGTGAATGCAAGATTGTTAATTTTAAAGGAGGAGATAATGATAGAGGAATTCGACATGCGTTGTTTATTTTGGAGATTTTCTCTGAAGAGAAAATGGTGTCCCTGCTCAAAACATCCAAATTGCGGACGTTTCTCTATTTAGGAGGTGAATACTCTGTACTCAACTCTCCCAAAGTTTTCTCTGCGTGTAGACGTTGTCGAGCGTTGGGTTTGGACAATATAGATATTCCTCTCCTTCCTTCCTTCTTTGGAAAGTTGAAGCAGTTAAGTTTCTTTATATTTCTGCAAACCAATCTATCCAAAGTTTGCCGGATTCAATTACGGATTTGGTGAACTTGCAGATCCTCAAACTCATTAGATGTGGGAACCTTAAAACATTTCCAAGAGATTTGAGGAAATTGGTCAACCTTAGGCACCTCTCAATTGATGGGTGTGACTCACTGAGCCACCTACCACCCCTGAGTGAACTCCCTTCCCTAAGGACGTTGATTCTCAAAGACTTGGATGCGTTGGAGTTCCTTCAACAGACAAGTGACCCGGAACAATCCAATACTACACGCCCCTTCTTCCCATCTCTTGAGAAATTGTGCCTCCACTCATGCAGCAACTTGAAAGGATGGTGGGGAAGAAGGCAAGTAATAAGAGCATATCAAAAGCATCGATTAGACAATTCACGTTCATCCTTCCCAAAACTTCGGTCCGTGGAGATATGGGACTGTCCCCACTTGAATTTCCTGCCACCATTCCCCCAGGTGGAATACTTGTTCACAGATAGCACGAAAATGTTGGAACAACAATTGATGGTCAATCCAAATTGCCCATAAGAAGCAACAGTGGGATCCACATTCATCCCTTTCTCTAAACTAAAGCATCTAGTTCTTTATGGTAGGGATATGGAGCCCTCGATGCTCGAGACTCTACTCCGATTAGCCAGTAATCTCGAGTCCATGGGCCTCCACTTTTGCAACCTAAAGAGTCTCTCTCGTGGCATGCAGCACCTTTCCTCGCTCCAGGAACTCAACATTTTTTGTTGTGGAGGACTCGATTTATCGTGCCAAGAAGACGAGCATGGCACCCAATGGCGATTCCTTACGAAACTTCGTGTTCTTAAAATCGCAGGTTTTTGGGATTTTGTGGAATTACCCGAGTGGATTCAACATCTCACAACTCTGCAATCTCTCGAGATTTCTTACTGTGAGATTATGGAGAGTTTGCCGGAATGGATTGGAAATTTGTCTTTGCTCGAAAAGCTTATATTATATCACTGTCCGAAATTAGAGCGTTTGCCATGGCAGATGCGCAACCTCACACAGTTGAAGGAATTGAGAATCTTTCATTGTCGGGCTCTGAAAGAGAGGTGCCTAACAGATGGCGGTGAAGATTGGCCAAAGATTGCGCACGTTCGGGTCATCTTTTGGGGGGATTAATTGTAACCACGAGCTTAGTAGAGACACGAGAAAAGACTTATCACCTATATATATCGAGTGTTCCTTTCAACTATTTACCTTCTTTATTATTTGACTCCGGCTTTCGAGTCGTCGCTTGCTCTGTCGTGGCTCTGCTCACCGGAGTCGAAGGCCAAATCGACGGTAGGAACAGTTCTTTTCTCTCTCTCTCTTTCTCTTTACTGCAATATCATTTTCACTGTGAATGTATATTTGTTGGGGATGTGTTTGGATTATGAATTGAATGTGATGCAGACATTTGGATTCTGAATTGAGTGTTATGGAGACATTGCATTGCATGATATGATGAGCAGCTTCTTTGTAGCTGATTGATTGAGAGAAGAGAAGACAACAATGACGTCCATTGCGAGGTTCCGTTTGACTTTAGAACTATGCGGTCCTTAAAAATGGAAGGAGAACGTCATTAGCTCATGAGCTACTACCACTTGCTTAGAAAAAATGACAATGCTGTTTAATAATGGCTGATTCTTTGGAGGAACGGGCGGCTAGTACACAAGCTTTGCAGTTTATGGCAAAGAAATCTGTCAGGACAGAGTTGACCATGGATATATGACAAGTCGGTTCGATGTCGTCTTAGCTCTTGGATCAATCATTGCGTCGTCTTAATGCGATGCTGACTCGATTACATCAATTGGGTTTCAAATATGTCGCATCATAATGGAAACCTGTTGTATCATAGAAAATCCAGGAAGTGTACATAAATTTTTGCCTTGCAGTTGATTCTGTTGAGCAAGTTGAAGGCTGGCAAGAATTCCACTTTTTATCCTGCCGCCAATGTACGAAGTCGAAATCCAAAGCTGAACCAAACATAAATGTTCTTGAAAGCGCAATTTTTTTCTCGCGGTAGATTAGTGATTTAACTGTCATACGAGTATCCAACGCAGTTTCATCTAGAGTTAGCATCTTTCTTTCGATTTTAAAGGGGTATGTGTTAATCTTCCTCTCCCTCTATTTTGTGTTCTCTTATTGGTTCTGCTTTTGCTTAGAAAATGATCTTTGTTTTTGAGAGTTGTGTTCTCTTTTTCGTTCTGCTTTTGTTTAAGATGTAATGGGCAGTGTAGTTTGGAAGCAGAGTCTCCTTTTAGATTGGTGGGTTGTCTGCTGATGTTAATTCCTCGATCGGTCCATACAGCCTTGAAGGTGGCCAAGGAGTGTCGCCAAAGAAGCATGCCACCGACACTCTTGGGCCTCTTTTGTTTGCCATACTCGGTGCTCGACGCTCTTCAAGTGGTCGTTTGTTATGAGCTACGAATGCAACAATTAGTGAACCGTTCTTGATCCGTCAGTTCTCAAGTTAGAAATGAAGGAACATTATTTCTATGTACTACTGTGATTGCAATCTTAATGTTGATAAATACTATATCTGCAAAATATCTAGAACCGACATTGACCCCTCATGTTAAAAAGCATTGTTTTCAACGTACATCTGTCTCATTCAGACAATTTTGAACCTGTCAATACGAGGCTAGCATGATTTAACAAAGTTAGAATCAAGTTTGGATGAGTCAAATAACTCTGTTAGGATACTTGATGCACAAACCATTTGTGAATGGTAAACGCGGATTAGTCTTATCAAAGAAAAGCGTAGATTGTGAAGACATGATGTTATTGCTATAGGGAAGATGCCATGGTAATTTAATTCCTGAATTCTCAAGAGCTCTTCAACTAACTTAGCATATGAGAAAATACAGTAATAAAGGCGATAAGAGGATCGCAGTGTGTCGACCAATCAAAACACGGTTTCAGAAAAGTTCAGAGATGAACAATGATGTCTGGCCAAAGCTACTTACCTGCAAAAGATCTCCAATGTCGATCACTAGTGCTCCAGGGATTGGAGGAACGTCGATCCACTGGTTCTCATGAAGCACTTGAAGTCGTCCAATTTGATCTTGCAGGAGAATTGTGAGGAAGTCATTGTCTGAATGCTCTGTCACACCCAGGGTCAACTCGGGCAATGGGCAGAGCGGTTAGTAGTGGCACATGATCGCGCGTCCCTTTCCACACTCCATCTCCCTCAGGTGACTTGGGTGGAGTCCTAGGGCTTCTGATAAGAGCTCAAACAGACGAGAGCCCAGTCTCATCGCATGCTTTGAGTACTCCACCAGCATTTTTGTGCCAGAGATGTTGCGATGCATCAGAAAACTGAACTAGAGCTACTGTAAAAGTATTGTCGGGCGGCCGGACGACGAATATGCAGGGGACTTGGGTGATCCCAGCGTCCACAAGGCCTTTGACTCCAGCTTTTGTCTCGTCGAACGCTCTCAATTTGCTCGCTCGGTCATGTTCATCGTCTATGGAAGTGGCCACAGGCATTTTCCAACAGGCATTTTTGCCCGATAATTGGATAGATTAGACTTCAACGACGGGATTCTCATTTTTATATGGACAAACATGATTGACCGAACTATAGGACGTGTAAAGAGCTAGGGTGTGCAAAGGAACCGGAAACCGCTCGGACCACCCGAAATCGAACCGGACCGGGCCCGGAACCGGCGGTTTCCATGGGGACTAGTCCGGTTCCCTGTTCCAATTTAGTGGAACCGGTAAGTATCGGTTCGGTTTCTGATTCTAGGCGTGGAACTGCCCACCCGCCTACCCAGACCGGACCGGACCGGACCAGTAATATATATATAATTTTTAAGGAAAATTTTCAACAAAAAAAAGAAAAAAAAAATTAAGAAAAATGATAATCCTAAAATCCCTAATCTAAAGCTCAATGCTCATCAACTGAGTATTGTCACGTCTCACTCTCATCTTGTCTGAATCGTGTCTCTATATCTCACTCATGATCTCAACTCTCAAACTCAACACCTATCGACTCACGGCCGCGCCTCCGATCGTTCATCGCCTCCCTCTCTCGCTTTCGATCACCTCCATTTGTGTGAAGCTTGATGAGACCAGTTCCATGGACCCACTCGGGAACCGAACCGGACCGGCGGTCCGGTTCCTGGGTGGATCCATTGAATCAATGGGCAGTTTCAATTTTTCAAAATCAGTCCTTAGTAGGCGGTTCTCGATTCCATGATGGAAACCGCCCACCCAGACCGTGCTCATCCCTATAAAGAGCTCGTATATGTTTGCTTAACTATAGAATCATTGCATTAAATAATGAAGCATGATGTAATATAAAAAGAGATCAATTAGTTACTTAAATATATTTATTGAAAACCATAAGTAACAGATTAATTTCTTGATAAGAGAAAATCCGAATTTATTTCATTCATTCCTTACTGGGAAAAAACCACCAAAAACCCCAAACTTTCCCACTTGTGACACATTTACCCCGAACTTTTTTTTGTAACACCAAAAACCCCAAACTTTGTTATTTGTGACACATTTACCCCGATATACATTGTCCATGGGCATTTTCGTCTTTTTAGCTTTTTCTTTTTTTTTATTTTTTTTTTCTTTCCGGCGAGGGCGAGCCCCACCCGACGCCGGCGAGGCTCACCCGCGCGGCGCGTCGGCGAGCCTCGCCCGGCTGGGCGAGGAGGGCGAGGCTCGCCCGACGCCGGCGAGGAGGGCGAGGCTCGCCCGATGCTCGGCGAGGCTCACCCTCGCTGGGCAAGCCTCGCCGGCGTCGGGCGAGCCTCGCCGGCGTCGGGGCGAGCCTCGCCTGGCTGGGCAAGGGAGGGCGAGGCTCGCCCGACGCCGGCAAGGCTTGCCCGGGCGAGGGCGAGCCTCGCGGCGTCGAGCGAGCCTCGCCGGCGTCGGGCGGGGCTCGCCCTCGCCTCGCCCGGGTGAGGGCGAGCCTCGCCGACGCCGGCGAGGGCCCCCTCGCGGAAAGAAAAAAAAAAGTAAAAAGAAAAAGAAAAAGCTAAAAAGACGAAAATGCCCATGGACAATGTATATCGGGGTAAATGTATCACAAATAATAAAGTTTGAGGTTTTTGGTGTCACAAAAAAAAGTTCGGGATAAATGTGTCACAAGTGAGAAAGTTTGGAGTTTTTGGTGGTTTTTTCCCTTCCTTACTCCATAGTTCTTTTTTCACTTATATGCAGAAACGCGATTGATGCACGCTCGATATTGGAAGAGCACGTGAATTAATGGCTGATAATACGATGACTGTTTGAAATTATAAACAATGTAAAACGCGGAAATCCAAAATTAGAAAAGATCATGTAACATGCATTCCTATTTTCCAACACATAAGTCACCCTTGAGAAAAGTACTGAAAACAAAATTATCCGATTAGTGTTAAAATTATGACATCTAAACAAATACAAAATCTTCGTAAAATCCAACCGCAAAATTAAATTAAAATAATCTCAAAATGTTGCAATATTTCTATTTTATGTAGTTTACAAAAAACCTCTCAAATCATAAGAAACATGTACACCAACATATTTGAAGCTACTTAGAGGAAGCACGAGAGCTCAACTAGTGGTATAGTATGCATAAGCATAACACCCCCAAAATCGATGGTGAAATATCTCATTTTGTTACCAGTAAATTGAGAGTTGAAATCACATCCGATGCCAATGTTGCACGAGCCATCCCTATGCGTGGACAAAACTTTAACCGGTACATGTCGACGCATGTGATTTACACATACCCATGAAAAATTAGTCTAGTAAAGGATTCCAATTCTTTGTGTTATGATCTTCTTAGAGAAAAAAATATTAAGAATGTGTTTATTTCGCGAAAAATATATAGTTCAAAAAATATATTCTTAAAAATGATCACTTATGTCACTTACAAAGATTAATGAATAAAAAATTATTTACATCATTCACGAAAATATTTAATCATAAATTATTATCAATAATGAAGATATTTTTCGATGACTAATTATTTATTTCGAGTTATACAAGTGACTATTTGTTTTCGGCGAAATAAGGTGAAAGCCCGAAAGTGAAATCACGAAATTGGATGGTGACCTCCGACCCGACCCGAATAAATCTTTTGTTTCTCTTACGCTTGAGCCTCGTTTCGTTAGCAAATTCGAGAGAAGACTGTCGCGGGGGCAGGCAGCTTCTGTCTCAGTTGCCACTTCTCTTTCGCTCGGACAAGAAGCTCTTCGACCTCGCTTCGCTTCGCTTCGGCCATGGTGATCATCCCCTCTCTCTCTTCCAATGACTGTGCTTGAGTCGTGGAGCTTCTTCACTGAATCTCTCTCTCGCAATTCCCTTTTTTTGTTTTTTGGGCAGGACTACTTGAAGACGGCGATTCCTTCGCAGCTCATCTCGGAGAGAGGCTCCAATCTCGTCGTCATCAACCCCGGTACTCCCCCACTCCCTCTCTCTCTCTCGTATTGAATTCAATACCTCGATGCGTTGTGTACTGTAAGCAGCTTGAACGCGCCTCGTTTCCTTGGCTTTTTGTAGGCTCTGCGAACATCAGGGTGGGCCTCGCCCAGCAGGACGCGCCTTTCACCCTCCCTCATTGCATCGCCCGGTACACCTCCCAGGTCCCCAAGCCAAACTTGCAAGATCAGGTCCCACGATGTTCCTGACTTCCCTTTTTTTTTTTTGTTGGGTTTTTCCGTGGGTGTTTTGGTTTTGGCATTGTGGGGTTTGATGGTTTCTGAATTCGTTGGGTTTTCCTTATGCTGCTTTGTTGTTGTTGTTTTGGAGTTTTTTAGATGCTCAATTCTCAAGTTACGACGGCGCAACACATGGAGCGAGAGAAGGCTTATGATATTGTGAGTTTGACTTCCTGCTGTGCCGTTTGTCTTTAGTTGTGACAACATGCAAATGCCTTGAAATTTTTCATTTTTCTCATTATTAACATGCGGGCTGGTGTATCTCAGATAGCATCGTTGTTGAAGATTCCCTTCTTGGATGAGGAGGTCGCGAACAGCAGCTCTTTCCAGCGCAAGGTTTGCAAGTTTTCCAAAAAAGTTGTTGACCTTGGTTCTTCATCACCCGAATTGAGCTGCTTTCTCGCTTCTACTTTATCTTTAAAATGATATGGTAGACTTAGAAGAGGCCACTTGTGTGAACTTCACTGTTTTCATCTTCCAATTATCTTTTTATTCTGTCATTTGAGTTGGCCACTTGAAGTTTCGGTATTTTAAGGCGATTCTCTTGACTTGTTCTTTGTTTTCATCATACGGTATTTAAGATAATGAAGTGTGTTCATTCTGTCGTCTGAGGAAGTTTTGTTTCTTTGATGGTTAGTAAAGGACTTGAATGATTTTGATGTCTTTTTATTGATAACTCAAGTATTTTCTCTTCACTTGTTCTATGTAAATCTATACTGCATCGTTATCCTAGAGGAGACTGCAGAGTCACTGCACCCTTGGATTTAGTATATTCTCGAATTTAAGTACTGTCAGGTCAATTCCTGCGCCCCAAAAACATAATTTATAAATAATCCCATCCAGCGCAGCCCAAAAAAGAATAGAAGTCCGCCCAAAGCGCTTGGATGTCTATGTATCTATGTGAGGTCGGGTATATGAATGGCCTTTGTTTTGCAGTCGTCAGTTTCTAATGCATCATGATATTTGATATTGGAGTTCGTCCATGATTTTGTCGGGCAAACCATTTCCTTGTCAATTTGTTTTCGCAGTGAAAGAAAAACTGACATACTTGTTTCACAGATGGGACGTGTTGATGGTTATAATCCACAGAATGTTAGGAAAGATTCAGTCTTTGCTTGGACGGATGTGTATGAGAAGCAAAGTTCGACTCCGGTAACAGGTCTATATATAACTATTACTCTCAATTCGTGGGCTGATGATTCTTCTGAGTTTGTTGTCTTCACTTTGGCTCATACCTTTTACTTTTCTCTTTTTTCGTTGTTATCTGCTTCTGCTAATTGATATGTCATAGACTCAGAACTTAAAACCGCTCTGTCAGATCATGTACGGGTCGTCTATGCAAAGAAATTGGCAAGATATTCCTTCCCTTTTCTAAGATTTGAAGTAGTATAGGCTTCAGTGGATTATATGGTCATTACAATATAAGATTCTTAGCTTTTGTCTGCACCGGAGCATGTTTCCAATATACTAGATGCCTAGGATAACGGCACTCTACCATGAAACGGTGATCTTCTCTATGTTCATTTTGGAACTAAGTAGAGAAATTATACAGTAGCTATAAACTAAAAATTCCATATGATTGTTTTGTCTCTAAATTGGAGTATTAGGGATGTTAAGTAGCGTAGATCATTAACATGCAATGAAATGGAAGCTGTCATCCAAAATGTAGATGGCTAGCAGGATGGTGCACTCTGTCAATGTTTGAAACTTCTGACCGTCAACCTTCAAACATGTCTGAAGCTGCTTTTACACACAAATGCTTGTTATGATTATTTCTCCTATGAGCATACTTTATAGTTCTGCCTCCCGTACAGAAGTGGCTGTAGCTGCTTATGTTTTTTAGCAGAAGTATCCAGCTTCAATGCTCCTAGCCTGTAGTCAGTCTACTAAAATTGCTATGTTGGTTGTATTGGTGCCTTGGTTTGTTTAAGGATGTATGGAGTTGATAGGGTAATGGGTTGTTTTCATTATTGTCTTGTTTATTCGAGGATATGTGGAGTTGGCTCTCAGCTGGAGCAAAGGTCTTGGCGTTTTATAAATAGTCGATGTTGCTAAATGATCTACAGAGTGAAAAGTGGAAGCATTCTTTTTTTTCCCTCCAACTATGTGTCCCTTGCATTTCTGATTTCCGAGCTATATGCATTATCAAGGTTACTTTTTTATACATGAGTTGCGTAATGCAGTATGATTATTTTTTATGCTGATATTGAATCTGCAGCAAGTCTTTAGTATGTGCTTTTGTGTATGACTTGCACCTTTGCTTTGCAGATATGTCAAAGGATAAAGACTTGCCTAGTACTTCGTTGGACCAACATGAAGGAATGGATATGGACGTAGGTGAACATAAATACAGAAGTTTCATTTGTGGCGAGGAAGCTCTGAAAATATCACCCACAGAGCCTTACTGCTTGCGCCGTCCTATCCGAAGAGGTCATTTTAACATTTCACAAGATTATCCTATGCAGCAGGTGAGATACCCCTAAATATTATGCATTGAAAGAAGTTGCTGTCTGATTATTACTTAGTTCCACTCTTTCACTCCTAGAAGGTGTAAATTAAGTACGTTGCTTCGTTAGATACATTGGTATCTATAGCCTCATCAAGAGTCAGCTCTAAGCATGCGGCAAAACACCTGTAATATAAAGTATTGCAAGCATTTGTACATAATACAATAGTAGTATGGATTGGTGAAGTAGAAAAGGAATGATATTGTAAGATGTTGCTCATCCCAATAATCTTTCTTCGCAGGTATATGAGGATTTGCATACTATCTGGGACTGGATATTGGCGGAGAAATTGCATATACCCCAATCTGAAAGGAATATGTATTCTGCTATTCTTGTGGTGCCAGAGACATTTGACAATCGTGGTACTTATTTGCATTGCTTTCGTTATGTTCATGTGTTTATATTCACTAAGAGTTTACTATTAGTTTTTCCGCTTATGCATTTCATATGATTCTCTGTGTTGTAAGTGGATGCATGAACCTATAGTTGGTTGAGTATAAATAGAGAAATGATAGTGGAGTTTCTTCCCATGCTTCTTTATTTTTTCCTGCAGTTCATTTGCTGATTTTACTTTTTTTTTATCTTTAGAAATCGATTTCTTTTTTTTTACTCTATGATTGAGAAGTAGTATACCATTTCTGTAGCTAAAGATTACTCCAGAAAAGGACCTTTAAGATCTTCAATTAATGTAATAATCTTTAGGTTGACAATAGGAAACTTAAATTTGATGGGATTAATGCTTTTTTGCGGATATTTTTGCATCTTGTTGAGCAATTGGTTCCTTTTCTTAATCTCTAAAGCATGGATCAGTAGTAAATTATTTTGGTCCTTTTTGCTTCAGGAGTTTATCCTAGGCGCAATTTAGGTGTCTTTGACATAGAACTTTGGTTATAAGGTTGAGTTGTATGTTTGATCTTATATCAACTGCTTCCCACCTTTTTTTCAAGCACTCTATGATTCTTCAAATGGTGGTGTGTCGGATTCATATTGCAACATAGCATTTCTGTGAGAAAGCATAAGATAGACTAATTGTATAAGAGTTACGGAGGGTTGCCACCCCTGTTAAAATGATTCTCAATAAAAGACCTCTTCAAAAATCAATGAATAAGTTTTGAAGTAAACGCCTCATTTGCTTCTCCTATAAACTACTGATGTTCTCTCTCTAAATCAGCAATAATACTGCTGGGAAAATTGAATGGAATCCTTCAATCTCTTCTTCTCCTTGCTTTTGTTAATATGCATTCTTATCCATGCCCAGAGCTCATTCTTGACCATGGCTGTTAGGATCCGATCCGGACTGTATGATCTTATTTGAAACGTAAGAAATGATTCAAATCTTAAGTAGGACCTTAATTAGCTAGGATCTTTACATGGTCCTGATCCTAGGCTAAAAAGTCATAGGATCGATGCGATCCTACTGATTACACCAATCCAATCTTGACATACTTCAACCTTGAAATATGTATATCCTAATATCTATGTAAGAGAAATATAGATTTTTCTTGTGCATGAAGTATATAAACTGTAAACTCACATCATTTGGAGTTTTATCATCACACGATGTTCATAATTATTAAATTCAGACGACTATTCAAAATATTTGTATTGTTGGTGTAATTTTTAGGATCTTACGATCCACAGCCTGATGTTACGATTCAATCCCTTAGACACCTTCATTGTTAATAAGTAGGATTCCGATCCTAACAACCTTGTTCTTACTATAGAAAACTCATCCAAGAAAGCACCAACAGTGCTAAAGTAGTGTTCCAGAAATGTCATGCCCTTGGGGAGTGGCCTAGTAGTAATTTAACCATCTCTAGGGCATATTTATAAAGAAAGCACCTAAACTAGAATCAAAGCGATTCTGCATGTTACTGATTGTCAAAATGCTATTCAAAACTGCCTTCTTGTCTAGGGAGAGAAAGCTACTCTTCGAGGAACTTCCTTTGCTAGATCTACCTTGATGGGAAATTAGCCTCCTTGCTCAAAAGTGTCACTGAAATGACAGATTAGTATATGGTTTGATTGAAAATACCTGCTATAGATTAAGACCTAATGATCCTTATCTTCAATGTGATTCACACCGTCAAGATTGTAACGAAGAATGAAGAAATACCACACCGTCTCAATTCCCAATCTTAAGCGCTCCAAACGATATTCGATTTCCATCAGGTTCTGTTGTGACCAGTATACAAAAAGTCAAGATTGTGCTGGCTTGCTACAAGCCTTAAAAGAATTGGGGAATAACTGTTTTACGAGTGATTTTACACTTGAACCACCATGCCGGAAGGAGATAGACTACTGTATACTTAATAGATTATGATGGATTAGCTATCCTTCTCTGATCAACTTCCAGTCTATAAGTGTTCCTGCTCCCTTCAAAATCATCCATGCTATGCAAGAATTTCTGTTGTCTTAAGTAGTTAAGGTAATTCATTAGGTTTGAGAATGCGGTTTAGCTTAAGTAGTTAAAGAGTTCTGCGTTATCCCATTTATTGAGCTGAAATTCTGTAAGCTTAGACATGTTGCTGATGGAAGAGGTATTTATCTAGATTCTTCACTGGATTCTTCATCTTTAGTTATATGCCTTTCCAACTATACTTTTAAGACATGAAATAGTGAATGCAACATCAACGGATGAAGGATGAGTTGCATCTGTGCCTTGAGTGGGTGGTATCCCTTTTCCGCCTGTGTTCTAAATACATCTTTTGTTTGGTATAGCAAAAAGGTTTTTCTATGGCAATATTTATGCAAACAGCTTGCCTTGTTTTCTTGTAAGTTCAGCATTTTGCATTGAATACATGTATCCAGAATCCAGAGAATGGGTTCCTGGTTGTTTTCTGTTTTTCTTTGCCAGGGAATTTAGCAGATTCCACATTGAATTTTCTGTTTTCTCTGGTTTCAAGCAGAAATTAAGGAAGTGCTTTCTATAGTGTTGCGGGACTTGCAATTTAGCTCCGCTGTGGTACACCAGGTTGGGAACCTTTCTGCCTTCCGATGACTTGCAGAAAATTATTCCCATTTATGTTAACTGTGAAAGATACTGTATGATAAAATAGTTAAATCGTACAATAGTATGTGCTCTTAGCATGTCTTACAGCTTGTTTACTTTGCACGGCAATAACTTTTTCCAAATGCATGTTTTTTTCTCTTCTGTGCTTTATATGCTCCAAATTGTGTTTTGAGTCTCATGATGTGATCAGTGTCCTGGACAAATATTTAGGTGACTATACATTCCACTGTTTTCTCCATTAGTAGACTATGAATATTATATTGACCTGAACTGATTCCTCAGGAAGGTCTTGCTGCAGCTTTTGGGAACGGTTTGTCAACTGCATGCATTGTGAATATGGGAGCCCAGGTGATATCGGTCATATGCATTGAGGTACTTGTGGTTCTTTTACTTTTTACCTCCATTGGAGTGTACAAGTCTTGCTTTTGGTGATGCAGAGCAGATGATGCAATGCTAATCATTGCCTCCAAGCTTTTGAAGCAAATTCACCAGTCATTTCAACATAGATTGACCTTAGATATAACACCATTTCATAAATCAAAGGAAAAGAAACCAGAGCTATCCTCATTTGTGTTTGTGCGTGACCCATGATCAGAATAATTATATGTGAAATCCACATTGCCCTGTAATTATTGTGAAAGACAGTGCAGTCTCCACTTTCAACATCATTCCTGACTTGTTATCACCAATACCAGCAGTGAGATCATTGTGTTATAAATTTCTTGTTCCACCATCTCTCATTTTGTTAATGATAGTGTCACCTCCAAATTAGTGGATGAAAACTGAATCAAAATGACGAAGAAATATTGTTTAGGTTTGGATTTTGCCTATCATCGATTATGCGACAAAGGTAACCTTTGTAAACAGGCACTCTCCTTTTCTAGACCACTATGATACTGTGTTTCTTATGTCTGATTTACATTCTTCTGGTAAACAAATAACCCTCGGGGGTGCCAATATTGTATGAACAACAATGAAACGAATTAGACTTTACACATTCTGCTTGGACTTTATATCTACTGATGGCTTAAAAACTATGATATATTATGTAGCACTGAGTTAATGAAGGAATTGTCTTTTTTAAATGTCAGGATGGAGTGGCTCTACCTACCTCCGAGAAGACATTACCATTTGGTGGAGAGGTGCTGCTTACTATTTGTCATTGTTCTGGGCTTACTGCAGTATATCTGCATTAGCCTAGAGACCATCATATGCAGAATGTTTAAAGTTGATTTGCCTCACCACCTTACATAATTGAAGATTCCTTTTTGATTTGCTTGAAGTATGTGAGGCTGGCTCTAATTATTTGGCTTCACTCTAGAGATAGAGAGCTTCTGACAAAAATTTTATATTTTTATCTTGAGATAACTTAATTCAGCATGCAACTATTTATTATTTGTCCAATATATCTACTTTGTTGTTTTCATTGGACTTGAAACTATTTCATGAACATCAACGATTATGATATTGATATGTAATTTGGTTTCAGGATATATCCAGATGCCTCCTATGGACCCAGAGGCATCATCAAACATGGCCTCAAGTTCGCACAGACATGTTGACCAAGCCTATAGACATGTTGATGCTAAACGAACTGAAAGAATCATACTGTTACATCCAAGTAAGTCTCATTTGGTAATTAAGATTCAGTGTTCATAAAAATTCTTATACTCGTGAGCACTAAGAACTTATATCTATGCTCTACTTTTAATGGTAGAAACCCCATGTGAACGGGGATTTATTTTGTTTAGGAACCATATGTATGTATCATTGTATATGCAGAAACATGTGTTGCGTGCTCTCTTTCAGGCAAGTCGTGTCATTGCATTCTTCCATAAACTAAGTTTCTTGCTTACAGGAGGGGGAGGTTGATGCGGTAGCAGTTGTTCACTCATATGAGGATGGGATGCCAGCTGCGTCTCATAGGACGAGGCTTACTGCTCTCAATGTATATTTCCCAAAGTGAATTTTCATCTCTATATTACTTTGCTTGCTAGATATTTAGCTTTTTAGAGATGGACTAATGGTTCTTTTCTAATTAGGTACCTCCTATGGGTTTGTTTTATCCAACGCTTTTGGTTCCAGATGTATATCCTCCACCACCTCGTTCTTGGTGAGTGAAATTGTTTCGTTCAAAAAGCTTTTCAGAGCGAGTCTAATCATGATAAAACTTCTCTACCATGGCGATTGTTTTACAAGGTTTAATGATTACGAGGATATGCTAGAAGAAACATGGCATTTTGATTATCCCAGACGACCGGACATGGCGGATAGTCTCTATCCTGGTTTTAACATTGGATTGCCAATGTGGGACAGCTATCCGATATTTCAAACAAAACCTAAGAAGGAAGAGAAGGTTGGCCTTGCTGAAGCAATTACTAGCAGTATTCTTTCAACCGGTGGGTCCTTACCAATTTCTTGAACTCTGCTTGCCGAGTGTCATGTGTTAGGGATCATAATTTTTATATTACTTTGACAGGGCGTATTGATCTCAAGAGAAAACTGTTCTGTAGCATACAACTGGTGAGTCTCGTGCACACAGTGAGTTGTTCTTTGAATTGCTATATATTGACTAGGAAAATGATGGTGTCTTGTGATTTAGATCGGTGGAGTAGCTCTGAGTGAGGGTCTCATTCCTGCTGTGGAAGATAGGTTAGTTTTTCTTATGCTTTAAACATTTGCAGAATCGTGGCTTTGTGAGTATTCTGGCGCAGTGACAGAATTTCATGTTAAACTCTGTATAAACGGGTGTAAAGAGCTTTGTCTATGCTGAAAGAAAATCAATGAATTTATTTACAGAAATCTGCTGGAGTAACCCCTCCTTAAATCAAAATATTGGCCTCTTTTCTGGCAAAAGTGTGAAGAAGGATCACATTAATATAGACCATGAGCTATATACATGAATATTTCGGACTTGTCATGATTTCATGATATTTAAAACCTAAATTATTCTTCTATGTTATTATATTATATACTGTTGATGGTTTTTCCCTTATTTGAGCTTCCTTTTGGTTTTGACAGGTATTTTGTGTATGGCTTTAGTTTTTTGGGCTCTTTTTGTAAATGGGTATGCATGGTGCCCCATAGTTTAACTTTTTCTATCTATCAAGCAACAATCATCGTTAGGACTTGAAATTTCAGCTAATGGTATTTTCTTTTGTTTTCTGTGGTCTCTTCTATTTAACTAGAAGGATTTTTGTTTGGAGAACTTAAAAGTCTGAACCTTGGATCAATACTAATGTGGCTCAGTGCCCATCGTGGATTCTGGTGTCATTGTCCAGTATTTTCTTTTTTTTTCAATAGAAATTCCGAAGCCTGAAATTGTTTTTCATTACTCATTGATTCTGTTGTTACAGAGTATTGCATGCAATTCCTTCAAATGAAGCAATAGATACAGTTGAGGTCAGTACACTCTTTCCTTGCCTTGTCGCTGTCATGTTAAGTATTTCCTTGCTATATTTAGTTGTGAACTAGTCGTGGAGATTAGCTGGTTGTGCAGCTTATTTTCATTTTATTGGCAACCACATGATAAGCAGCATAAATTAGCACGATGTTTGCATGTTAAATAGGTCGATTTGTGGATGTTTTTTTTGCTGGAACAAAGGACTACACTCTATCTATGCTTCTCAGTCGTAGTTATATAAGTTTCTTAAAACATGTCTTATTTTCTTAAAACATGTCTTATTCAAAGTTCATATAGAGGCTTGGCTTTTTCTGGGCGTATCATTTGTATCACATGACTTGTGTTTGTCACCATTCCATCTCATGCTTTGAAGAGATGTGCAGTATTCTTAAGCTAGACTTGCCAACAGTGCATGTGAGGTGAAAATTCCAATAGGACTAAATTTGTGCACTTCGGGATTGAGCAAACTGAGTTGTCTTCAACAGGTTTTGCAATCAAGAACACACCCTACTTTTGTGTCATGGAAAGGCGGAGCGGTAAGATAAGCATTGTCTCATTACATCTTCTCACTATTTTTTGCTGTAAGAAGATGACTTTTGACTAAGACTCTGTATTTGGTGAGTTGAACATGACTCATTTCGTTTCCTGCCTGATGGAGACCGGGAGCTGTTTTGTATAAGAAATTCCGTGGTTTTTTTATCAAAATATGCAGAACATGGTCACCAGCATCGCCTTTTACTCGGCCAATAATTTTGGGGGTAAAGGAAAACATTTCATTTTCCAAAAGTAAGTGCCTTTTTAAAAAACCGCATCTCGAAGATACAAAGAAAAGCTTCTTCAAAGAGAGACGTGCCATGTTTCCATGGTAATGCAAACTCGTCACATAACGTTATTGCTATCCTCGAGTCAGACCTTGTCATGGTCTCTCAAATAGTGTATTTAAAAACTGGCTAACTTAAATTTTATCGTTCGAACTCGCAATTTCTTAGTGATGAGCTTACTTGTTTAAATTAAGTTGTAGCGTTTCTTTACTTGATCAATTATCACGCTATTAGTTTGGAGTGCAATCCATGAAAATTTTTGGGTCAAAATCTAACATATCTCCAGTTTTGAAAGACTGTTGCTAGGAGTGTTCTGACAGATGAAATATTTCCTTTTACTGTGGTATGCTTTGTTCTCAACAGATTTTAGGAATTCTTGATTTTGGTCGAGATGCTTGGATACATCGTATGGACTGGATTCACAATGGAATCCATGTTGGTAGTGGCAGAAAGTACAAGGACTCTTATTATGTCCAAGCACAAGCAACATGTTACATAAATTCTTGAAAGGTAAAACAGTCGGGGCTCATAGCTACTCCCAATAAACTGGTCAGCTGACATGCCCTCATTATGACTTGCAAGATATTCTAAAGTTAATATGAGCATTTCGCTATTGGATGTTGGAAACTGCATTTGAGGACATTGATTGCTGATCTCAATGGGTCTAAATACAATTATGTGTCTACCAGATGTTGAAGTTTTAAATCATTTTCACTTGTGCAGCAGTTGCAGCAGGTGGTTTCCCCTTCTATGCGTTCCACGGGCAAGGTCGTAAGCCTGTTAAAAATTGTGAGCGTCTGGTGCCTCATGTGAATGATTGCACAGGGTAGTTCTAACTGTTGCATTTTATTCCTTCGACTTCAGGTTTCTGATCAGAGTTTGCACATCCTGATTATTGAAGCTTCTTGTTGATAGTCGAAGTGGATCCGAACTCGGCTGGTTTCCGTGGACAAAGAAAGCGGGTGCGTCTACGGCACTATCAGGCGGCTGGGAAGGGTAATTGGTGATAGATTGCATTCCTCCTTCCTCTTTTACTTTCAGGTTTCCCTGGTGCCTAGGCAAGAGCATATCTTCGTTTGCATTTGTCACTTCAGTTGCTCGGAGTCAGAAGCAAAATGTTAGCATGACAGTGGTATGTGGATCTCAGTCGTTGGCCTTTAGCTTTTCCTGTTTCAAGTCACAGTTTAAGGTAATACAAAAATCGATGAGCTCGTCGTTAGGTAGTTTCTCTTCCTTTTTATCTGACCAGAGGTAGAGCAGGTGTAAATCTTTTGGGTGGAGTGAAATTGACTTCAGCTTTTCTATCGAGTTACAGACGGCATGGACGATTCTTGCTTTTCCTTCGTCTTCTGCCACGGGAATGCAGCGTTTTGTATGCATCCGTGGAAAATAGTCGAGCCAAAAGTTTGGATACCCTGTATGATCATGAAAAAGAAATTTATCTTATCTTACTGTATAGATCCAAAATATGTAAAGTCATTTTTAGCAACTATAGAGTAAGGATATAACCCGGTGATCTAAATAGAATTCCCATTAATGTGTATTTTTTTCATGGTTTTCCAGTAAATATAGCATAACTTGAAAAGATACGGTTGCTTAGGTATGCATTTGCTTCGCTGAAAATCAACGATTTTTCTATGAAGGATTGCTTGTGTAACTTACCAAAGCTAATGAAGGATAAATATTATCATCGTCAACGAAAATGTGAGATATGGATTGGTGTTGATCATGAAAAGATTTTCATAAAATCAAAGATAAATAAGATGTTTTCATGAAAAACGATCGCTTCCATATTATTTAGGAAAACAAATAAATGAAAAATATTTTCATCAACATTAAAATAACCAAACCAAACTATGCGTTCCTTTATGGAAACTAATTGCGTCGAATTTACAATATGCAAATTGAAAATGTATGCTTAGGCAAGTCAGGATTTTTTACCTATTTTTCGGTTCGATGACCTCGGACCACGGCAGGCCAAGTGAATACAGGGGTCTCGGCCAACTCCGAGACTACTGTCACAGTAACTTATCCATATAATTTGGACTTTCACCTTGCACATTGCATATACCATCCAGATATTACACAAAAGAGCACAATAGCATACTTCTGTAGTCTCTACACACTGTACATATAGCATAAATAGAGGAGTCGCGGTAAAGATGCCGCAAAGATTCATCGGAGTCACGGTTTTATTAACATGAATATGACGAAATTGGATACAACATTATACTACTAAGCTTCGAGGACGACTCTGAAGGGTGTGAAGTATCCGGCTTATCGTCGTAACGTTCATAACATCGGCATAAGTTCCTGTAAACAAATCCAGCCTCGGCATCGAATTGATTTGTCGTGCGCAATTGGGAACATCCGAAGTAGGAGGCAGGCGAGAATTGCAGGAGAAGAGCTACGCATAGCTTATCCGCATCTCCTTTCGTCTTTGAGCATAATGCTGCACGTTTACTCTTGGGACTCCACCGGATCAGCCAACAGCTCCTCTTATCTTTCCTTTCCTCCCGCTACACCATTCAAAATCTGATCACAGTCGTGCAAATAATGAGTCTTACAAATCCACAACCAGATCCATTACAGGAGACAAAAGTAATGAAGGGACTTAAGTTCATCGCGTACGCTTCTGAAGCCGCACCAGCACACGATCTGGTTTTTGTGTCGGCGACATCGCTTGAGAATCCCGGTCGTACTTCCGCAGATTACCGATCGAACAGCTTCACTTCCATGCAAACTTGCATCGAAATGTAATCTTCAGTTAGTACATTCAATGTTCATAACTCATGATGCCATTAGGTATATGGTCATCTTGTTGGTATGACAATATATCAGATTTTGGCTTGATTGAGATCGTGTCTTTATGTAGTTTTTAAACTCTGCCCTCAATAAATTAGAAAAAAAAAATGATGAAATTCTATTGATCAAGGAAGAGAAAAAAAAGAAGAAAGAAATAGAGAGAGCCAACGCCATTAAACCAGTGAATTGGAAAAAGGAGAATTTTCGTAAAAATTCGTGTAATTGGTCATTTGTCCAATGGATTCCTTTCACCATTAACCACGATGGGACAACTATTTAAATTAGATAAGTAAAGATATCGCTTTGAATTATAAAATTCAATTTACCATGAGACAAGAAAAAAAATAAAGAAAAAATGCATCGAGAGGTTAAACGAGAGAAGCTCTTCATCATAAATTTTTCATTGAAGTTTTTTAAAAACATGTTTGTCCGTTCGTTAACATTCATTCTATGATTTATTTTCTTCTTTTTGCACTCTTCAAACACTTGAAAACAGAAAAACCTTTGAATAAAAATATATGACAAGCTATATTGTAAGTAATTTCTTAGGTGGTTAGTATTTCCTGCGAAATGGTCATGACAGTTGCAACATTTGGTTGAACGAACGATTTCTTTTTCTAAAATAAAGGACACTTTAAATAAAAATATAATACCCTATTAAAATATTTGCTCACATGTATAAAGTATGACAATGCATCATACTATATTTTTCCTCTTCCCATGGATCAATGTGCTATTTTAGACATCATCCAGTAAAACAACGTGTAGACAAAACCACCTAAATCTCTAAATATCATGTAAAGGTAAATTTATATTAGCAAACGTAAAAAAGAAATAAGGACCTCGTTTGATTGGAATAAGAAAATCAAATCATATATATCATTTCCGTTACAATCTAACAAAAAAATTGGTCTAAATAGTCATGTGCATAGTTTAAGTGTTATATTTTCGTCCAACCATAACTAGTTATCAGTTCTGGACATTACACACGTGCGAAATTGATAAAATATAAATGTAGGCAGTGTCCATGATCGTAACCCATCAATTGGAAACGTGGTAGAGGAAACTAAGTCTACTTATTGGCCCGATTAAGGTCGGTCGTTCGCCAATGGACTCTTTGAGACGAGTTGAACATCAAGAGCCAAAAGATTTTGAATAATTTGGGTAAGTTGGTAATGATTCCAAGATAATCACCGACCTCGAAACTGTTAGAAAGAATTTTTTAGCCTTATTAGCCTTTCATTTCTTACCCGACACCGAGTTTACATCACAACCTCCAGTAAAGTCTCTTCGATTGGAATGGTTCGATTAGACGTGAAAACTTCACAAAGAAATCTTCCTCAGATGGCATGTATGCTACTGCTAATTGAGGATTAGGGTTCTTGAATTTATTGAGTTTCCGTACAAAGCAAGGAACAAAATCCCGCACTCATTAGAACAACTACTTAGGAATAAACCAAAACTTTTCCATAATCATAGACAAAAAAAAATAAAATTGTGAGCCACGATATCATACTTGTCAAATAACATATGAATTTTAAATTATAAGTTAAAAACTCTTTTCCCAAACTAACGCACTCGATCTTTTTTATGATCATGAAAAAAATGAGTACTAAATTGGCATAATCGAAAGATTTAGAGCTAAATTAATACAATTAAAAAGTTTAATATTGAATTGACTATCATACAATAGGTTTTAAACTTTTTGGTCAATTACCTCCTCTTAACGCATAGCATAACCTGAAAAAAGATATGGTTTTCTAGTTCGCGCCTCTGTCTAGGTTGAAATCAATGATTTGGAATTTTTTTTTTCCTAAAATCGATCGCGTGCATATCTATAGAAACGAATGAAGGAAAAACATTTTTATCGTCATCGAAAATGTCGGGCATAAATTGCTGTTGATAATCAATTTTTTTCAAATCAACGATTTGGAAAATATTTAGAAAAAGACGATTACTTACATCGTTCACGAAAACGAACGAACGCGTAATGTTTCTATCGACTACGAAAATGCTTGAGCATACAAGATTAATGATGACGAAAACATTTTTTTCCATTAACTGATAAATTTAAGCAATGTAAAAAAGAACGAGTCGATACCGTTCTCATTTTGTAAAACTCAAACCAAATTTCGAGCAACCTTTTTTTTTTTCCTTCATAATCCATATAATTTTTCCTATTTCTCTCGCCACATGCAAAACGTGGGATTTCACGAAAAAGAAATTCCACGAGAAAAATAAAAAAAAAATACCTTTTTTTCTCCCAATTTTTTTTTTCACCCCGCCTCCACTTTTCGCGCCATCTTTTTCCCCCCTTTTTTTTTCACTTTTACCAAACATTTTTACGAGCCCAAAAAAAAAACAAAAAAGCAAAAAAAAATAGCGCCAAAAAATCGAAATCCCACGTCATTGAAAAGCCTCCCCCCCCTCGCGCCAAAAAAACACAGAGCTTCTCCATTTCACACCTCTCTCTCTCTCTCTCTCTTCTGCAACGCCGCGATGACGACGACGACGACGCGCGACGTGGACGGCGGCGGCGAGGCGCCGACCGAGCGATCGGAGAAGATCGAGCAGATCCGGACGTACATCGGCTACGAGATGTCCACGCCCGACGTCTCCTCCGCCCTCGCCCAGTCCCTGGGCGACGCCGACGCCGCCATTGACCCCATCCTCCGCACCTGGAAGGAGGTCCCTTTCAAAGTCAGGCGCGCCCTCGCCGGCGCCGGCGCCAGGATCTCTGCCGGAACGGAGCCGGAACCGCCCGAGGGGACGGGAGACCCGAAGGTGCCTGTCGATCCGTCGGGGACGTCTTCCGGCGAGCTTCCGAAGGCGGCAGATGAGGAGTACCTCGGGGTGGAGTCCAAGGTAATGGGCTGGGTGGAGGAGGACTTCGGTTCCGTTGGGGATGAGAAGTCCCCTGTAGTAGGGGAGACGGCGTGTGAAGCAGAGGAGGAGGCGTCATTTGAGAAGACCGTAGCCGAAACAGAGCCTGATGTCGTCGTCCACGACGGTATGCTGCCCAAAGAAAAAGCATGCGGAGGAGCACCGGAAGAACCCCGGCTGGTTCGGCAGTCGGAAGCAAAGGGACGCGTTGATTTCTCGATGATGTCGTTCGATGAGTTCCTCAAGGCCACTGGTACGAAAGTGGTGGCCGATGAGGAGTACCTGAGGAGCCAGAGCATGGAGACGGGGACGATGGTTCGGGTAAAGGGTGAAACTGACTCTGTTTGCGTAGAGAAGGCAGCTGCGAGAGAAGAAAAGAGTACGGTTAGAGCAGAGAATATGGTACCTGATGCAAGAGAGGTAGAGATGGTGTCTGAGGAGGGATGTAACAGGAACCAGGGTATGCAAGGGACTGGTCAAGGATCGATGGTTGATAGATCATCTCAGAGGACCATAATCAAGGCGGAGCCCGATGTCGTCATCGTTGCGGAAAGTACAGTGCTAAGAGCAGAGGAAAAGAAGAAACTACGGGGCGATTTGCAAGTCCAGCCCTGGGATGGTAAGAAAGATTTCAATCCCAAAAAGAGGAAAGACATGGGTGTGGATCCAATAGATGCTACTCCAATTAACTGGGCTAAACCGAAGCTTATGCCGGAGAAGCACATTCCGGGGTTTGACCAACTGGGGCCGAAACCCTCCGGTCTGAAAAGCAGAGTCGTTGAAGATAGGAGTCTAAGTTGTGCTGTAGTGGAAGATGCCGATTTCGCAGTAGAGCCGGACTGGCATTTGGTGGGAAGGAGGGTGATCAATGGGGTTTCAACCACCAAAGGAAGGAAATTAATTGATAATGAGATCATCCATTTTAATTTTCCTACCGCAAACTCAAGGAATAATTCACAATGGATAGTTCGTTTCTCTACTGAAAGACATGGGGAGGTTAGCTACGTTTCTTCGGATATCGACTTTTTGTTCTTTGTTATTTTTGTAGAGTTTTGGTACTCAACTTGGTGTTTTTCCTTTCTTTTAATAAATAGTGAACACAGACAGATGAAGCAATTCAATATTGTTTCATCATCCCTTTCTCCTGGCAAGTGGTTTCGCTTTGTTGTCATCAACTGTAATTTTTTTCCTTTTTGTGCTTATATCTGGCAGCTAGTTTTGTCAGTACCTTACTTGGATTGTTATGAGATCATGAGAACGCGAACTTTTGCCTGGCTGATAATTTTGTGTATCCTCTGTGATCGATAATTAGATTGGTCGGCTTGAAATGGCGTGGGCAAAATGCGTTATTCCCCTTGTGAAATCTTCAAAGGTGAAGGTTTATGGTCGCTGCATAGCTGCCCCAGCAAACATGTACATAGGGCAAGAAATAATGTTGTATGTAAGGTGAATGTCTTTTTCTTTGGCCACAAAGTTTTTTTTTTTATGTGTGAGCTTTGATTAGAGAAAAACATCTGAGGATTCACTTTTGTTATCCTATTTGTGAAGCTTTTATATGCACAATTCTGTTTTCACCAATAATTCCAAGTCGTCCTGGAGGCTAGATGATCCATCCAACATTGACTCCACTGAATATCCTCTATTGACCCTATTCAAGTTGTTGCAGATCAAACCCTATCGAGAGGTAATTCTTCCCTATTTGTTGTCCTCATCTCTTTCAAGTTCGATGTCAATCATGTAGCGTCATCATTGAAATCTCTACTTTGGTTTATCCAGGCTGCGTACGACCCAGAAGAGCTCAATACGGGGAAATGTTTGGTAAATCTCAACCTGTGTAAACTTACCACCGTCTGTTGTTTTCCTTTGTTGTGAATACATGTAAGCTTTATTGCTCAAATGAATACACATAGCACATTGTATTGAGCCTTGACATGCACGATACTACGGAAAAACCAAATGTCCCAAAGTGTTCACTTGTCCTTAAAACTTTCCCAAAGTAACTAGAAGAATCAGCTTTATCAGAAGTTCCAAAATATGAGATATTATTGCAAAATGAGTACATTTGCATGCATATTACTACTATAACTTCGTGCTTTAAGCATGGTCTGAGTTCTGACAAGACGTCGATTTTTTATTTCTTTAAACCGCATGCTTATCATTGATCAAAACAGGGAAATACAAATCTAACTGTGCCAGCATTGTCCACGGCCATGACAAGAAAGAGTGGCCAGAAGTGTCTGGAAGAAAATAAGGATGAGCAAGCCATCTCCGAGGCAGCCTTAAACAAGATCATTGGATCTGCAGGTGTATATGACTTGGAGGTAAAATGCGAAATAGTACATATTTTTCTAGTGTTGCCATTGTAAAATCTATTCTTAATTCTCTCAATGAACCGTCTAGGAGTTGGAGCCCCCAGATACCCTTATGTGTACCCTAAAGCCATACCAGAAGGAAGCTCTGTACTGGATGTCACGGCAAGAGAAACAAACATATGTTGCAGGGAATGCCACAAAAACTCTTAATCCTTGCTGGGCAGAATACCGTATATGCGATGAGTATGTGTTTTACCCAAAAAAATTTGTTACCTTTGCATTTCAATTATGTTAAGCATATGAAACGCCAGGATGCTGTAACCATATGACTGAAATTTTTCAGGGCGGCCTCTTCTATATATGTAAATGTATGCTCCGGCGAAGCAACCACACAATTTCCGGATGCTCAGCAAATGGCAAGAGGAGGGGTCAGTTTTTCACTTGTGCATCTTGCACTCATTGTGTTGCATTTGCAAATGGCAAAAGTAGGGGAGGTTTCTGACTTTGTAAATTGTAGATATTAGCAGATGCAATGGGGCTTGGGAAGACCGTGATGACGATAGCTTTAATACATGCAAGACCGAGCAGGAGACGTCCAGATGCGCAAAAATTTCTCACGGAGGATGCTGATGACGTTGATAGCACAAAGAGAAGGAAGAGAGATTCAAGCATAAGAAACACGCAAAAAGTAAAAGGTGGCACTCTTATTATATGTCCAATGGCTCTATTAAGCCAGTGGAAGGTGAGCTCTCTTAAAACATCTTCATTTATTTTTCTCTCTCTTGCTTGAAATTGATGGACACCTCAAACGGCCATCTATATGCTTGAGCTTAAGTTTGCTATCTTGTACTCCTTGAAAGGGCAATTTGTAAATATTCCTTCTGTTGACGTCCTCAGGATGAGCTTGAAACTCATTCGAAGCCTGAAAGCATTTCAATTTTTGTACACTATGGTGGGGATAGGACAAATGATCCCAGGGTGTTCTCAGGATATGATGTAGTCTTGACTACATACGGCGTCTTAACGGCTGCTTATAAGCATGTGAGATTGCATCTCTTAAAACTCATCTTTTGGCTATCTTGAACCATGTAAAACCCCTCCCGCAACCTGATGTTGAATAACCAAAAGAATAATAGAGTGATTCAAATTCCGTCTCAGGATCAAGATGACAGCATATTCCACAGAGTTGAATGGTATAGGGTAGTTTTGGATGAAGCTCATACAATTAAATCTTGGATGACCCAAGGTGCTCAGGCTGCCTTTGCTTTGCTCTCACATTTTCGGTGGTGTCTCACTGGAACCCCCATTCAGGTCTGTTCTGTTACCTTGGTGGATCCATGCTTTGCTACATTATTGCAGTTTAATTTTGCATATAGGTGATTATAAAGAATAAAAGCTGAGAGATTCTTTGCCGTGCACAACTGGTGATTAACAACCAACTTTTGGTAAATTTGCAGAATAACTTACAAGATCTCTACAGTCTTATCCATTTCTTGCGTGTTGAACCATGGTGCAACTGGGCATGGTATGTGTTCATACATTTAAAAGTGTTAAACTAAATTTATTCATGCTTCATTTTGATTTCAGAGGACCAATTGTAGTTACAGTTATCATTTGCTTAAAGCCTCAGGCTTTTTAGCAAAATGGGAGCTCTCCAAGAGACAAATGTCACTGTCATTTGCACCTCATAACTGTGTTCTTCCTATTTATTCCTCCTGTCTTATTAGGTGGAAGAAGCGTATACAAAGTCCTTATGAGGGTGGAGATGGAAGAGGGATAAAGCTGGTCAGAATAATATTGAACTCTCTGATGTTGAGACGAACTAAAGAAAGCAAAGATAAAGAAGGAAGGTAATCAACCGATGCTCATGCAGTCTTTTTTTCCTGATTTAGATGAGTGATTTCATATCATGTCCTAATATTTTGATGCTTCTCATTCAGGCCGATACTTAGTCTCCCTCCGACTGATATACAAACTATTGAATGTGAACAATCCGAAGCAGAACAGGATTTTTACGATGCGCTCTTCAGGAGATCTAAAGTAAGTCTCACTGTTCTTATTGTATTAGTATGCATGTTAGCTTTAGATGAATTAGTTATGCTCCACAGGCCTGAGGCATGAGAGGATGATTCGATCCAAGTATTGAACTATTATTTTAGTGCCAGCGGTTTCTTCTAGAGACACATTTAGCGAGAGTATTCTCTCTTAATGATGCAGCTAACATTCTTGTGCAAAATCAAAACAGGTACGATTTGATCAATTTGTAGCACAGGGCAAGGTTCTTCACAATTTCGCATCTATCCTTGAACTTCTACTTCGATTGAGGCAGTGCTGCAACCATCCATTCCTTGTCATGAGGTATCAAACTATCGATGGACTCAAAAAGTTTTCCTTCTTGTTGGTTTGTTCGTGAAGATTTTTTCTTGACATGCCTTTGGATGCACAGCCGAAGTGATTCCCAGCAGTATGCAGATTTGAACAAGCTTGCAAGAAAGTTCCTTGATATGAATCCCCATTCTGCCTCCTGTAATCAGATAGTCCCGTCTAGAGCCTATGTTGAAGAGGTAGTTGACGGCATCCGACGGGGCGAAAATACAGAGTGCCCAATTTGCCTGGAGTCAGCAGATGACCCTGTGCTCACACCTTGTGCTCATAGGATGTGCAGGGAATGCCTTTTGTCAAGCTGGCTTACACATAGCTCTGGCCTGTGCCCAATCTGTCGCCAAACGCTGAGGAAAAACGATCTCATTACGTGCCCTACAGAAAGCCAGTTCAGAGTTGATGTTGAAAAGAACTGGAAGGAATCTTCAAAGGTGTCGAAGCTTTTAGATTGCCTGGAAAATATTCGGCAGTCGGGCTCTGGCGAGAAAAGCATTGTATTTAGCCAATGGACTTCATTTTTGGATCTCTTGGAGATACCGCTTAAGAGAAGAAAATCCGGGTACCTGAGATTTGATGGGAAACTGGCGCAGAAGCAAAGGGAGAGGATCTTGAAGGAGTTCAATGAGACAAATGACAAAATGGTAAGACTGATTAATACACACACCATGTGATCATCCTGCTGTGACACTTGACCAATTGTTTGTATTGATTCCGGTTCCTTTGCTTGCTCATAAACTTCAGATACTTCTGATGTCTCTTAGAGCTGGTGGGGTAGGCTTGAACTTAACTGCTGCCTCTCATGTCTTTCTCATGGTACGTTTCGTGATAGCTTTCATCTACTTGGCACACCCGCTACAATTAGAAAATCTATGAACCAGTCATTCTATACAAATTAATCTTGCTCATACATGTAGGATCCATGGTGGAACCCAGCCGTAGAAGAGCAAGCAATCATGAGAATTCACCGCATTGGACAAAAACGAACTGTTTCAGTTAGAAGATTCATTGTGAAGGTGAGTTTGCTGTTTGTACTTTTCTCTCCTACGGGAATTGGTCGAGCTATGGGGTCAAAACACATAGCAGGTACATCTAAGAATTTAGGCATATGGGTCAGACCAAGCTTTGAGCTTGCCCACCCAACAACACTTTTCCCTTTCACGTGCTGTCTGTGTCTGAACTCTGAACAGCCACGTACTGGTATGCCTTGTATGTTGGTCCTAGACCAAGTCCAAAGGGACTTAGCTTCGTGGGGGGTCAACTTACGAAAAAAGCTCCAACTTAATTAGGTAGTCCTAGTATAAATAAACCATGAAATCCCATTCATCCAGTTCTCTTCAACTTCAAGCTTGACTTCTTGACATCAGCCTATTGTCCAAATCTGACGTTCTCCACTGAAATTTGTCGTTCTTAAGTTCAGAGCATGCCAATCTTTTCTGTTCAATACAAATTGGACAAACAGGTATCCGTCTAGGTCAAGTCTCTTCATTATGTTGCGATTTCTCGGTTATTTTTCCAAATGAGTTGAGCCAAACTGAACCTAGACCGAGTAAAAGAAAAATCAAAACCAATTTGGTATTTCCTAATGGAACTGTAGTCTTGAATCTGTGATTAGAGAAAAACACCGATTTCAAGCCGAAAAAACTGCTTTTGTCAGATTAGAATGATGTCAGTTGAAACTGAAAATTGCGCAGGACACGGTAGAGGAGCGAATGCAGCAAGTTCAGGCGAGGAAGCAGCGAATGATCGCCGGCGCCCTCACCGACGAGGAGGTCCGGTTTGCCAGGCTGGAGGAGCTCAAGATGCTCTTCAGATAGAGGAAAAAGGAGTGCCAAGAATTTTGAAGAAAAATCCCAAATCCCCTCGGATTTCTTTAAACTAATCTTCCTGTAATCTATTGTACATGGGAAATTCATGCTGACAGCTAAGGCTGAAGACCAGATCTTTCAGCATTGACTATTTGTGCGGTGGCATCTTCAAACTTATGTGGCATAGGATGAAAGCCAGCCCCGGTTTTGGAGATAGATTTTTGGGGGGCCGCATCTCATTCCCCATTTGGTCAAAAGCTGAATCTACGAATGCGAAATTAGAATACTTCTCTCCCTCGTTTCTCCGCCGTTATATCGTTCTTGGTGTCGCTGCATCTTTTCCTCTTTTTTCTGTCGCTGTTGACTTGTAAGAAGATCTAAAGATGGTTCCTCGGGAATATTCTCGAAAATTCGTTCCTGTTCTTTTTCTTTTCGGTGCCTTGGACCGGCCGGATCTTTGACAAGAGGGGGCAGCACTATAGGAAAATGAAGCGCACGCCCGTGTGAAATGGTCCTGGATGCTCGTGCGATTTGGACCAGCAGAAATTTTCTAAAGTTGTGGGGGGAGCTCTTTAAGGAAAAGTTTAGATCCGAAAAAGGGGAAAAAAAAAGAAGCTATATTGGCCGTTTTTCTAACTTTGTTTACGGTTCACACATCAAATGTCCGCCATACATTTCAAGATTTGCGATTATCCTCGCCTTTTTATAATGGATTTTGGGCTAATGTTGCCTGCACATAATCTATTCGGATTGTCGTTTTATTTTCCAAACTACCTCCACTTTAACAAGAGAAAAGGAACCCCCCGATATACACGCCCCGTCTCTCCTTCCATTGGAGAGGCTTGTTCTGTTCGACAAACACACCACCATCGTGTCTCTCCCTCTCCACCCGTGTGCGCCGTTGTCGATCCTTCGGGGTCCTCGCCGACCTTCAATCTGAGGCCGACGAGACTCGCCGTGCCAGCTCAAGGCCGGATTGAGGTCGAAAGATCTTGATCTAGTGGGCCATGGCCGCATGGGCCGAGCTTGTGCGGCTCGTGAACTCGAGGCCGATCTCACATGGCCTCAGAGATCGCGAGCGGTGGGCTCCGATCGAGATCACGTGTCTCGCCTTCGCAAGCAGCAAATGATCTCGCCACAAACAGAGACAAGGATGCGGGGAGACGGGCGGGGGCGAGGGGCGGTCCTTATCGGTTTCGGGGTCGGGCCGTGGCTGCGAGGGTGTCTCTCTGTCATCGACGTGCTGTGATATTGTGTGTTAGGAGATGGAACGGGCACGAGACAAAGTCACAAATAATTCTTTTCGGATTTTTGTTTTTTTTGGGTCCGAGGTTTTTCTAGATCGGGGAGATGCAAAATGAAGATGGAGGAGTCTATTTGACATGGAGAGCGAAAATTGAGGATAACTTTTGCGATCGATTCAAAAAGATAAAAACGCGCAAAAAATGTAACAATTTGCCCGGTAACAAGCATGGGGGCAGGGCTTGCAGCATCTTTATTCAACCTTTGTAAGTAATTTTCAATACATTGAATGAGTCGAAAATTCGTTTTCACAGAAAAAGTCAACAGGTTTCGGGGTTTCGCCTCACAGACCAAACGGGATGCGGCCGTTGAATTTCGGGGATCGGAAGTGGGGCCCAGATCTCCCCAGACAGATAGGAGACCGATTGGGAAGAGGGTCGTGCCACGTGGAGGGCCACGATAGGATCCCATCCGACGTGTCTTCGCCGGATGTCGGGGGGGAGGGTCTTCGAGGCTCCTCCGCCGACGATTGGTCAAAATCTGGTGGTGCGCGATGCCGCGAGACGAGGCGGGGGGGGGAGGAAAGAAAAAATCAGTGGACCGCAGCACCCGGATTCACGCCAGTCCCGGCGCGTCCGGACCGTCGGATCCCGTGTGGGGCCCCCGCGTCGGTTACCGGAAGATCCGACGGCTCGCGTCTCTCGGATTCACCCGCGCCGGTTGCACCCGATCACTTGGTGGGTGTGACTCGTGTGAGAGGCGGTGGTGGGGTCGGTCGGTTAGAAAAGCGTGGGCAGTTCGTTTGGAGCGGAGCGCTTAGAATTCTTCGTGGCTTTTGACGATGCCCGTCTCCCTCTCCTGGAAGTTAGAACGGCTTCTCGGCTCGGCTCGGCTCCGCGCCACTTCACGGCGTCGCTCGAGACGAAATGCCCGTAGTACCCCCTTGGGAGCCTTTTCCACTTACTTACTTCTCTTTGAGTTTTTGAAGGGAGGGGAGGAGGCAAGCTATGTGCATATATTTGACCCCCTTTTCGGAGATGATTTGGTGGTATATATATTTTAATCTTTCAATTCATCCTCTTTTCATGAACGCTCCGAAATCGTACGATCCTCATACCATAAAACATTTTTTTTTTATGTCGGTTCGAATAACGCTTCCTCTTTCATTGCTTGCTCTGTTCAACGATAACTAACTTAATCATCAGATGGTCGATGCAGATATCTAGAGATAAATATGCCGTAGCCCGGTTTCATCGGTGTCCTGTGATTCTTGCTCCTTCTTTTTTCATCGACCTCGAGCTCGTCTATATTTGAACATCGATATGTAATATGCATTTGTTTCGATGTTGAAGATGTACGCTCCTTTTTGAAAAGAATGGAACGAGGGAACCGGTTAGATTTCAGTAGCTTATGGGCGCAAAAAGTGCTTAGACTATTTTTCTTAATAGAAAAGAAAGAAAGAAAAAGAGACCTAGTAATTGGCCAACATTATTCTACGCTTGAGTCTGTTCCGTATTTTGCAGCTGTTTTGTAAATCGTGTTGTAATGTGTGCTTGTGTCATAGTTGATGTTACATACATTTTGGCAACAAATCTATGATATCTTGAAATAAGTACATGAACCATTGATATGGTAATTCAGCCGGATCATTCTTGCTCTCAAGTGGTTACCCTTCTAAAGGGTTCAGGGGTTCAAATCCTAAGAGTCTAGGCTTGAAATCTGAGCCAACCCAGATTGAAAGGGCTTATTTCTAGTTGGCATTTCGATAAGTAAGGGTGATAGGCTGACCCATCCTAAGAAGTCCTCTCTTCGATGTCGATCTGCTACTCTGGTACAGAGTTGTCCTGTAGGGATGGCGCAACATTGCATCCGCCGCACTTGTAAGTATAGCATTCTGTGGCAGGATATCGAGTCCCTATGCTAACGCTGAGGGATGCAGTTATGTGGCCCCCTTATCTCGTACTTTTTTTCGAGCAAAAAACGATATGTGTGTAATCTCATAGCCTACGCTATACAATGTGGTCCCTAAACTTTTAATTTGTTCAATGTGATCATTAGACTTTGGTATGTATATTTAATATAGTCCATGGACTATACGAAAATGCATTACTAAAAGTCCATGAACCACATTAAACAAAATAAAAGTTCAAGGACGGTATTGCACATTGAGTTAAAGTTCAAGAACCATATTAAAAAAATTAAAAATTAAGGGATCATATTACACATTAAGCTAAAGTTTATGGACTATTTATGTCGAGAAGGGAAAATGACATAAACAGATTCTGAACTTTGGCTCAATGTTCATTGTGATTTTTGAAATTTTAATGTGTTCAATGTACTTCCTGAGCTTTAACTCAATGTCCAATATGGTCCCTGATGATTATTTTTTTTTGTTCAATGTAGTCAATGAATTTTTCGGTACATGTTCAATTTAATCCATGAACTACATGAAAATGTTTAATGTTGTCATTTCATTAATTCAAATTTAGTAAATACATTGAATATTTTCACATAATTTAGGAATCACATCGAACGAATTAAAAGTTTCGGAATCACATTATAAATTGGGTCAAAGTTTTAAAAACCGTTTAACATCATTATCCCTAAAGAAAAGGGCAAAAAGAGCGAGCCCTCGTAACACAGCTTGAGAGCGAAGCAGAGAGCCGCGTGCGCCGACTTTCGCCCAACAAAACTTCCATTCCAATCCTACCTTTTGATTTGACTCTTTCATGGACCGCCCTCTCTCTCTCTCTTCTCTCTCTCTCTGTAACGTGCCTTCCACATGTTGTCCCCCCCGTCGTCTCCTCTCTCTATATATAACTCTCTCTCCTTCTCGCATCTCCGTCATCCTCCACCTCACCTCCTCCTCCTCCTCCTCCGTTTTCCCCTTCTCCCCACCCTCTCTCCGCCGTGGATTCCTGCTGTCGCCGACGCTCAGCTCGACTCCTCCTCCCTCCCTCCCTCCTTCGATCGCCCTCCTTTGCCCCATGGCCGACAAATCCAGGAGCGTCGCCGGCGGCGGCGGCGGCGGCAGGCGGCAGCCCAGCCGGCTCCAGCGGCGCGCCCCGGCGTCCCTCCAGATCGCCAGCCCGGCCTCGCGGCAGTGGAACGTCGCGATCCCCTCCTCTCGCCCCTCGCCTCGTCCCCGACCTCGCCGCGGCTCGCCGCCGGCCGGTCGTCGCCGTCGCCGTCGTCGGCGCCGCCCCGCCGGCGGCCGGGGCGGGGGCGCCAAGCCGCGCGGCGGCGAGGAGCCGGCGGCGGCGGCGGCGGTGTTCAAGAAGTGGCAGCACCCGGCGGCCCCGTTCTGCTACGAGCCGGCTCAGCGCAAGGCGTCGTTCATCCCGGTGTGACTCCGGATTTTTTTCTTTTTTTTGGTGTATAGAAAGAGGAATTTTTCTTAGGGTGGGGTCGGGTCGGGTCGTGTGTGGTTAGATCTGACGGTGCTCGTGCGCTTTCCTGAAACGCGCGAGCGACTAACTACAAAAGAAGTGTAATTAATTATATGTATAATTATAATTATACGCAGCCTTTCTAGCTTCTCTTCTTCTGTAAAACACCAATTCTGACCAACCCCAATGCATGATTGATTACTCGGATTTTTTGATGGAGTGGGGGGGCAATTGGGTCTTTTCACTCCGCGACGATTTTGTCAATTGGTCCATTGATTGGTTGTCGCATCTAATTTCGTTCTGCCTTTCTTTCGTTTTTTCTTTAAAAAGGAAATCTTAGGGGTTGTGGTTCATCGAATTCATCTGTGAAGTTCTGTTTGGTGTGCACGCTCATCGCGCTCGGAACTGATCGTGCGCGAGATCATAATGAGTGCCTGAAGTGGCCTTACGTGAGACTAATTTGGCCAGCTCGGGCCCTACATATGAGATAAGATCCATTCCGGATCCTATTTTGATAAAACGATGCCATTTCGGGTGCCTATTCGAGGACATTCTCCAATGGTTCAATGAGTTTGGTAGCATTTTGCGAGAACGTGACGCCAATGTTGTATATAAGAATTAGAGGAAGTCAGTGCGAGGATTAGGTAAGCAGGAAGGGTCTAGAGGTACCCATTGATTGATGTTTGGCGCGGTCCAATTCGGTCAACCAGAAAAACATAGAAGTCATAGATGAAAAAGAAAAATTCTTTAATGACATTAATTGCTCTAGGATTCTCATATTTGAATAATAAATTTGGGATTTTTATTTCTTTATCTTATTTAAATATAATCGACAGTGATCCTACCAATTTTTCCAGAAATTTCGAACTTAAATCTTTTCAGGTTCCTTATTATACATTTCCAGGCTTTGTTTTAGGTCAAAGTCTAGACTGCGCGCGAGGAAAAATGTTAAACATGAATCGACAGCGGCCCTACAAAATTTTACAAACCGAAAGCGTTTTCAGCATAAATTTATTTCATCCCAATTCAAACTGTATAAGAAGGGTCGGTCATGAAATTCTAGTCAAATGAAATACAGATGCTGATAATACTTTTATTTTTATTTTTCTTGGGCATATTAATAAGGGTTAATACCACGAAAAATCCCAAACTGATACACATGTGACAATTGTACTCCAAACTAATTTTTTTACCATCAAAAACCTCTTATTTATACATCTGTGACAAATTTATTTCGAACTAATTTTCTGACTATCAAAAATCTCAAACTGGTACACCTCTGACAATTTTACCCAAAATTAATTTTTTGACCATTAAAAACTCCGAACCGGTACATTTGTGACAAATTTACCCTCCGTTAGTGTCCGTTAAATTGGATTGATATCACAAAAAATCACAACTTGGTAAACTTGTGACAAACAGAGGAGTAAAGCCCCAAATTGGTACACCCGTCAACTACCACGTGTCATCAAACTTAGCAATTTGACAGTAAAATTTAACGGAAACTAAATGAGGGTAAATTTGTCACAGATGTACCAGTTTGTGGTTTTTTATGGTCAAAAAATTAGTTCGAGGTAAAATCGTCATAGGTGTACCGGTGTGGGGTTTTTGATGATTAAAAAAATAGTTTGGGGTAAAATTATCATAGATGTACCAGTTTGGAATTTTTTGTGATCAAAAAAATAGTTTGGGGCAAATTTATCATAAGTGTATCAATTTAGGGTTTTTCGTGATATTAATCTTATTAATAAAAACTGAGCTTGTCCTACCATTTTCTCCGGACTTTGCTTGGTCCACACAAGACCCGGAGGAGATTAGATATGTTCTTTTGGGGTGTTGAATGGTCACACGATAAGGACGCAGAAAACATGCAAAAAGCTAAGCAACAAATGCTTGACAATCAAGAAGAAGAGATGTGGGGGAAAGGGGTTATAAATTGTACATAACTTGTCCCATCACCATTCACAACCATATAATAAATAGAAAAAAACAAATAAATATATATTTACCCAAAAAAAGAAAAATCAGGGGAAAAAAAATAAAGATATCCCATGACCCAATTATGTTGGCTTCCCGTTGTCTGACGTGGGACTTATACAAGGAACGGTCTTTAGTCTATTTCTAGCCATCCCTTTTGATAGTATTAGGAAAAAAGTACTATTGTTCCTTTATTAAAAAAATGACTTTAAAGGCCACCAAAGTTGGCGATCAAAGTTTGGAGAAAAGCAGCCACTCATATCTGCCCCGAAAGCACCCCAAGATTAGGGTTAGATTAGGTAGGTTTGATTTACGTCAATCAACTCCGTGGGAACAGTTTAGCAATGTCCAAAGAAGCGATACGAGATTCGATAAATCCCGACACGACTTGCAGCCACGGCCACGTGGTGAGCACAGAGCGAAATTGGGTACATAATTTTCTCGTCAAATTTCCTGATTTTAGCGTGGATGGCTCGGGGGCGGTGCTATTTCCACCCTTTACATTAGCTAAAGTCAGTTGATTTTCATTAAAAGGACAGAATCGCTTTCGATTATTCAATTGCAAAAGTAAAAAGTGACGGCAACGAATATATTTATTTTCCTTCCTCCTTTAGTTTTTTTTGATTTTAATGTCAGATCTAAATTGCCGTAAATTCGTAATTTTGCACGTTTCGTATTTTTTTTTTAATGTGAGTATCCCGCGTGTATTAGAGGCGCCATGTTTTCTTTTTTACAGTTTGATTTTACTTTCGAAGAAATTGGTTTCGTCTGAAAAAGAAATTTCAAGAAACCTAATTCTTTTCTACGTTGTTGAGCAAATTTACGGATTAGTTGTCGATAGAACTTAGAAAATTTTAACATAGACACTTTTTTTTAACACAATCACCTGTTTATAAACTTTCACTTTTGTCATGTATATCACCATCAAACCCTCTCTTGTCAGTGGCCTTATAAACAAATATATGTAACGGGATAATAGGATTATTTAAAAAAAAACCTATTTAAAAATGATCCAAAATTAAATCACTGTTACATTATTTAATGTGAAATTTGAAAGATGAAATTTAATTAAATCAAACTATTGCATAAAACAAGAATTTTTTTTTATTGATGCCAGTAAAAATTCATTGTTTTGGATTGACAAAAATTAATATCATCCATGATGTGTTTATAAAACAAATATCAAAATAAGAAAGAGTTTGATGATGATGTGCACAATAAAAGTAAAAGTTAATAAGCCTCTGATTGTTTGATCAGAAAAAAAAAAAGCATGCGATTGTGTTAAAAAATTGTCTATGTTAAAATTATTCTAGATTCTACTTGACAATGAACTATAAATTTGCTCGATAATGTAGAAAAGAATTAATTTTTTTGAAAATTTATCTTTTCGACTAAACTTATTTCTACGGAAGGAAAATATAAAATAAGAAAGACAATATAGTGCCTTCAATATACTTTGGATACCCACAATAGACAAAAACTAAACACATGAAATACTTAATTATGACAACTAAATCCTAAATAGAAGTAGAAAAAAGCAAAAAAAGAATGAAAAGTTAATGAATTGGGGGCCACCACTTCAAATTACAAATGAATGATTAAGAATAATTTTATTTTTGTAATGAAAAATTGGGTGAATTTAGTCATATAGGGGATGAAAATGATGTTGCCCTTTTTTATTATGGAACTCTGCAAGTTAGGTAATACCAAAAGCCGAAAGCTACAACCATAAATCGAGGGCACTAAAGCCCCCAATTAACACCTGAATCTAGTGCATAGTAGCCGATAAAAATTACTGTTGCACTACATCTGGGGAAAATGGAAAAGAAACTCCTGCTAATTGTCTAAATCATGCATTGCCTTAAATACCTTTCGGTAGGTAATGAGGTGCAAGGGTGACAATTCCTAACTTGACATGAGACATGCGATTCGAAAGCTATACGAAATTATTGAAAAAAATCCGAGATCAACCCAACCTGAACCAGAAACTAATACGAACAAGCACGTTTTAACTCAATTTCAATGAAAAATACTTCATAATAAATTAACACAAATTAATCACCTGCCGGGCAGATAATTGTAGTCCATTCGATAGTAGCAATTATTGTCACGGTCCAAACAAGTGACAGCCACACCTGCTAAGGCAACCCTGCGTAGTGGCTGACCAATTTTCCTATAATCTAGATCAACAAACAGCACCCTTCCTGTTGGAGTTGGCGAATACTTCGGGGACCCTTGTTTCTCACATCGGGTACGCCCACGTGAGCTTAGGGAAACTGAAGTGTTGTCCAACGACATGTGACCCATGCGTGCGGAATGCGGGGGTTCGGGCGCGCCCGACACGGGTGCCCGGGCCTGCACGGTCCGGGCGGGGTTCGGGCGCGCCCGACGGACGCAGCCGCCCCGCTCGCCGGTGAGCGGGCGGGGGCTCGAGGGCAGCGCCCCCGAAACCTCAACGGGTTTGGGCTGCCCGTATAGTGCGAGATTAAGAGATTTCATATAGGTTTAGGTTTTGGGCCCGTTTGGGGCATATATATATTTTGCTCGTTTTTCGATCATTGTAACGAGTTGAGTGGTCATGTAAACCGAAAAAACATAGTGAAATCTCTTTGCAGGACGTAACCCTAATCGAGGGTGAACCTGGGTAAATTCGTGCATCGTCTATTTTCTCTGTTTTCTGCATGATCGTTCTGTCTCGGTTCTCGATACGTCCCTTCACTTCCTTCACGAAATCACACCGACAGTTTTATTATTATTATTGTTGTTGTTATTTTAATTTATTTTTGCTTTAATTCCAATTGTTCCGGAAGAAGTAAAGTGGAATGACTGGCAGTAGAGAAAGAAAACAGGGGGACTTAGAAAATTTTGAAATTTATTTTAAATATTGGTTATTTTTTCCAAATTAGTGTAGAACAATAGGAAGAAGGAAGTGCAACCAATCTTAGAAAATTGGATTTGAAATAGTAAACAATGTCATACCTAGAAGGGTTAATACCACGAGAAACCCTAAATCGGTACACTTGTGACAATTTTACCCAAAACTAATTTTTTGATTACTAAAAACCCCAAACTGGTACACCTGTGACAAGTTTATCCCGAACTATTTTTTTGACCACAAAAAACTCCACATTGATACATTTGTGACAATTTTACCCTAACCTAATTTTT